TTACGAGAATCTGTCAGTAGCACTCATCTGACCCGCAATTCTGGCTGAGGGCAAGAAGGATAAAAATAAAGAGCAGGATAGCTTCTTGCTCACAGTCTGCATTTCTAGTCAAAAACAAATAAATGTATTTGCAAACACTGGGTATATATTCAAAGGATGCAACTGGCCATAGACCTTGGCAACAAGTCTATTTTGCTTTAATGCACGCCCCTTAGCAGTACCAAGGTTAGAAAAACCAGAAATTCCCACATACGAGTAATTGATGAGAACTTGTAAGAAATTTGATTAAAACAATCCCAAACCCCTGAAAACATCCTGAGATTATTAAATAACTATAGAAAAACCAATGATTAAATTTAGTAGTAAGAGCTGAATTTAGCTTTAAAATACAAAAGAGACAAGCCACTAATTTAAATTTCAGGTCATTGTTGAATACACAGAATTGAGAATTATAAAGAGACAAGCAACACTATTAAGCACTGAGATCCATAACTATTGTGTAGGCATAGTAGCCAAATAGGTTGAAAGAGTAGACAGTGTAGATAGCCAAGTACTACACTTTAATAGGTACAAATAGACAGATAGAGCCAATAAGAGGGGCGCGGGGAAAGGGCTTAAGATTCAACAGTCAGAAAAATGTGTGAGTCCCCTTTAGGTTGAAAGTCATCCTTTGGTTACTTCAGTGTATCATAAGGCATCTGGCTTCACAATTCAGGACACAAGATGTCCTGAATTATATATTCCTGAATTATATGCCACAGTCTGAGACCAGCTGTAACAAATCAACAGCACACCTGCCAAGCTACCATCAGTACCTCTGCCAGTTTGGGGCAGTTTCTCTTGGTTTCATCTCCCTTCTCCACTAATGCTACCTTTTCTCTACTACTTTTTGCTTAACTCAATGACTACTTATGGGTCTCTTGCTTTCCTAGCAACGCTCCCTTCTTAACACTGTGTCCTGATCAAAGTTGCATCAATAGTTTAAATGGGGCCTCAGGTCACCACCTAGGAGAGTGAGTGCCTCCACTGGGCAAAGTTCTCAGGCCAGTGGGTCTCACAGGTTAATCACAGGCCCTTAAACAACTGCTTTAGGACCGGGTACCAATCACTGACCAACCCAGATGTGGCTGAGAGATAGTGATATAGTCCAACAAAACTTGAATGTGAATAAACACCTCCCTGTCTTGTTCAGATGAAGGTGAAGAATGTAGCCAGTCTTTCTTGTGCCATCTAGTATACAATGGTTCCATCCAACCTATAAATCTTAACTAGTGCTCTCACACTCTAGATTCAAACACTGCTCATTGAAATCTAAATGGTTGGTAACATAAAATCAGGAAAGGAAAAGATTAATGGTGATGGCAGGGGTAAAGTTGAGAAGGTAGCATATGGAAGGGCAGGAACAGAATCCTGAGCACTGATAGGGAGCTGGTCTGAGAGAACAACATCTCTTCCACAGAGCTGAAGAAGGGAAGATGAGAGAATTCATGTGTGATGATTATCTTTTCAGTAATGTTAGAGAAGACATTTGTAGAATGAGAGGGATTAGGAGCTTGAGGATGATAAGGTTACTAGAGCCATTGTAGGGAACATATATATGGACAAGAGATTTAATTTAACAACGCCAAATATAGGACCAGAAGTTCCAGGAATATCTTCATAAGGATGATTGGTAGAAAGTCAAGTTGGATGCTCTCCATCAACTCAACGCAAATGACTTAAAGCTGAGGAGGGTTCAGACCAGGCAGAAGATAAAGACTCTAGGATGTTATTAGTGAGACTGAGATTTAGTAATAAATATGATGGAATAGGGACCTGAGACTTTTTTAGTGAAACTATTCATAATTGGATATAAAATATAAGCTTATAAAAAAACTACTCTTCCACATTTTTGCATACTTGTTTATGAAGGAATTAAATGTTCACTCCTTGTAAAAAGGTCATGCATGAAAATGCATACGAAGGATGATTCTTAATTGTATCTCATATTTGGCAGGCAAACATCTTAGGTAACAGAAATGGTTTTGCTTGGAAAATTTTGTGACTTGTTGTAGGTGATTACTTACTTGGAGGGGAAAATCACCAAAATTTTTGCACAATGAATATGTGTCATTTCCTATAGTAGGTGCTTTATATATTATCTCATTAATCCTCTTTATAGCCCTGTAAAATAGGTATTATTCTCAGTAATTTATACCTGAGAAAACCAAAGCACACAGAGATTAAGTAATTTACCCAAGACTGTAAAGCAAGTCTGACTCTAAAGCGTATGTTCTTTCCACAGGCCACACTAGAGTTGAATCTGGGAAATGTCAAATTCTTACTTTTCCTATTGCCAAGGCTTATTATTTATATACACCTGTCCCTTGTTATATCGTGGTTCACTTATTGTGGCTTCACTGTATGATGGGTTGTTTTTTTTTAAATAATACTAATTCTCTATCGCAGGATTTTGCAGTATATAGGTATTTATGATTTTAATTTTTGCCTTAAAAATTTAAAACAATGTAAAATATAAAAATGTTAATTCGAACATATTAAAAGAATATTAAATAGAAATAAAATACAGTATGTATTTCATCAGCATATGAGTACCATACTATACACAATGGCAATGCAGTATGCCACTACCATTTGCACAAATTTGCCAACATGAGGTTGTACACAGCACACTATTGGCTGATGGAATGGAAAGCGACCAACCACAGCACTGTGTTCTGTATTCCCAGTGCCGATTGGCTCAGTGACCTTAGCATCAGTCTGTTTGCTCTGCTGCACTGTGCCCATAGGTTCAGCATCTCTCCTTGCCCACTTCATATGGATATCTGATCGCTGAGTGCAATGTTGCTCTGTGGTGTTGTTTTTTGTGAAATTTTCATCAAAGTTTGAATTTATTTCAAGTCCTATGATGCCACCCAAACGTTCTGTGCCTTCTAAGGCTTCTGGCAGTGAACCCAAGCACCAGAGGTATATGCTTACCATCAAAGAAAAAGTGGAACTTCTCCACATGTGGCAAAAGCTACACGGCTATAGGCTGCCATTACGGGATCAACGAATCTACTGTTTGCGACATAAAGAAAGATAAGAATATTAGGTCTACCGCAACAATGACTTTTAATGAGACTGCAAAGAGGGTGGTCACTTCTGGCAATAAGGCCACTGTGAGGATAAAGTCTGCATTGGCCCTGTGGATAATTGACTGAAGGAAGAATATCTCCCTGGATACCAACAACACCTGGATGAAGGCCAAGAAACTTTATGATAGTTTTTTTGAAAGCACAAATGTTCATGAAGGTGATAAGGATGAAGGCAAGGAAGGATGATGATGCAGAAGCAGGACCGTTGAGTGCTTCTCCCACCAGACCAACCCCATTCAGTGCCAGCAAGGGCTGGTTTGACAAATTTCAGAGACGCTTTGGACTCAAGAGCGTTTCTCTGCATAAGCTGCCTCTGAGGATAAAAAGCAGTGCCAGCAGTTCCCCATAACTATGTTCATTACTAGGACAAAGAGATCAGTTACACCTCCACCTTTAGCAGAAATAGAGGTTACGGCCCAGGGCGAAGATACTGCACCACCTGATGAAGTGGCTGATGAAGTGGTACCTTCAGAAGAGCTGTGATGCTCTTCTTGTCTGTGCAGTACATTCATCTCATTGTTATCACCTTCATCGCCATCAGTACTGCGCAGCTACATAGTTCATGATCTTCATCATTCACGTTGTAGTATTCTTCACTGGTGAGTACCCATATAGAATTTTATATGTTGGTAAAATTACATAGGTGTAAGAGTATAGAAAGTGTTTAAGAGCACATGAAGTGTTTATAAGAGTGTGGGAAAGGCTTATAAAGCCTTAAAATAAATATAAATAATAAAATAAGTATAACGCTTCTACTTCTAGGATTTTCACTTGTCACAGGGGTCTCTGGAACGTAACTCTTGAGATAGGTGTGGGATCACTGAATAAGCTCATTAACATAAGGGCAGAGAATTTATCAATATTTTTGTTCCCTCCAGAATTTGTCTATGATTAAGTATTTTAATGGGTCAAGAGGTACAGAGGTAATATTAAAGAATATAACTTCAACAGGAATAAAGGAGAGTGTAGGTTCTATACTAACTATTTGTGCAACCTTAGGGAAGCTTCTTAACTTTGGGAATCTAACCTTAGATTTTTTATCTAGTAAAATGAGGACTTTGGACTAGGTGGTGTCCAAGGTCCTATTTGACTTCATCCATCCATCCGCTCATTCATTCAGTAAACGGGTTGAGATTTTTGTATGTATCGGGCACTGTATTTAGTGTTCTGGGAATACAGTAGTAAATACAGTGAAAACCTCATTGAATTTACATTCTAGAACTCCTGTTTTTGAGATAGTAACTCTCGATGTGGTGAGAAGTGACAGGTAGGGCAAATCTTCCAAATTGCCTGGGGAATACTTTTTAAAAAGTATACTATGTTATTTGAAATGCAGTCTACTCCACAGGAAGTAAGCACTGTGGGGAGTCAGGGCTACTGATAAACACTTGGGGTACATTTCATACAGGCGTGGTAGAAAAAAGTATTGAGAAGTAGTGTTCTAAATGACAGAGCAAATTAAAGAGTGCCAGTCATATTGCTCTATTCTGAAGTCTGAAGACATTAAAACAGCCAATTCTAAGCTTGAAGTTTGAAAATGCACTAGAATTATCAGTCCCTGATTAAAGTCCTACAAACACTTGAACCAATCAGAATGCTTACCTATCTTATTGTTAGCCATGATGTAGGTTGAATTCATGTGAAAATTCTTTTGATTAAAAACACCACTATCGCCCTGATCCGTGTGGCTCAGTTAGTTGGTTGTCATTTGGAAAGCGAAATGCTGCCGGTCTGGGTCGCGAGTTCAGTTCCAGGTTGGGGTGTGTACAAGAGGCAACCAATCGATGTTTCTCTCCCTCTTTTTCTCCCTCCCCTTCCCTCTCTCTAAAAATAAATAAATAAAATTCAAAAACAAAACACCACTATCCTTCCACAATGAGTTTTAATATGCCAGTATTCTGTATTTAAATACAAACACGCAAAAATTAATGATGTCACAACATCATTAATAAAGGCCTGTGTATGTATTATTTATGCTTTCATGTTCTGAGGATCATAACAAAACCTGAAATGGTGGGAAGTTTTAAGAAATTTATTTCCATTCCCCTCAACTCTAACTAAAAGCTATCACTAAAGTTTAGGCTATAGTCAAACAAAATTACCATAGAAATGTGTATGACTTGAAAACTTAAAAAAACACCTCTAGTTTAACTGCCAGTCACAGAATGTTTTATTTGAAACCTGCTGTTCAAACTCTAAAACACAATGCATGTGGCATAGAAGTGGTTAACACACATCTGCCACAATTCTATCTCTGCCTTTTCTATATTAGGTGATATGTTACAATTTCTTTGAATTTCTTACATTCATAGTATTCTTAAAGGCAGCAATGTCAAATTTTCTGCTTTGAAAACAGTTCCATTAATTTTCTGGAATTGCTTAAAATGACTTTTTCCCTTTATATTTTACTGTTGTCCACATTAGTGAAATAATTCAACATATTATTAGTAAGTTGTTGAGAGGTATATGGTACTCAGTAAGTCAACTCTCAACTCCAAGTTAAAATAAACTTCAATCCAAAACAAGCATTTCCCTAAATCAGTATATTTAGCTACTTTTCTCAAAAATAATTCCATTTTGAAATAAGTTTTTTTGTGATACAATAGTTTCTTTCCCTTTCCTCTTTTATTCTAACAGAACTCATGCTGTACTTTTTTCTCAAAATATATTTGACATATTCTGTGCAAATATTAAGTTCTGAATAGCTTTGTACCTTATTTTGAAAAAGTTTATAAAATATAATTCCTAAAAACAACCTCAACATTAGACAATAGAGGAAGAAGAAACATATCAGACAAAGCCTAATTTTTCACATGAGAAAATAAGTATGTTCTTAAAGCTCCAGTAATACATTCCTTGAAAAAACTCAGAATGCACTTTGGTCATTATTAAACATATTAGAACATAGGCAAATAAAACAAAATACTTTTGTTGTTTTCTACAGGAAGAAAATCAACTACAGAGGCTGAACTGAGGCTGATGAAAAGGAATGGTAAGAACAAAGTGACATCGTGACATGGCTCTGTTCTCTACACATTTCCAATCTTAAGATTATGATTTGGGGATTAAAACTGCACCAATCAAATACATAATTTTACAATTAATTATTTTAAATTCCCTAAAATGTTTAAAAAATGCGAGGATATTCAACATGACACACCTTGCACCAAGAAAATTCTAGACTGTTTCAAATAAATTTTTTGTTTTAGAAACTAGATGCCCAGTTAAAAAAGAATTGCAAATACAGTTCATGGTTCAATTATTTTCTAAAATATTCTTGATTGTACAAATATAACAACTTAAAATCAAGGCCCAATAAGATACCATCATATTTGCCCTACTTACCTAATGTGCCAACACAGTAAATTCTCATTTGGACACTTGCAAAATTACCTGGGGGTTGCAGTGGTGGGTCCAGGTTAAAAACGTCTAAAATAGCCCTTATATAATTGGGTGGTGATGGGGGGCGGGGACATGCCAGATTAAGCTTAGAGGACACAATTTGTGAGGTGAAGCTGCCTCTTCTGAAAACTGGGGTATACAGTACTTTTAAAACTGTCAATGAGAGGAGTATTTTACTGGTTCTGAAGTTACTCATTTGAGTGTGGTATGAAGAGCATACACTACAGCGTACCATGGGGAGAAAATTATTTTACTTGAGTAAACATAATGTACTTTAGTAATATCAATAGGCACTTCACTTGTGAGATGAGTATATACCTCACTCAAAAGGATACCATATCATGCCCTAGTACACTATAACATATCCCATATAAAGAAATGCATTAAAAGTAATAATTTTAAAAAGTGCACATCTTGAGCATGCACAGTTAGAGCTGTGCAAACAGCCCAGTGTTTCAAATAAATACAATTATCACTAGTAAATTTTTATCAAAATATCTTACAGTTTGGTAACCATTTACAATTATTGCTCTATTAAGAGTTTTATCATCAAAGAGCACTTTGTTGACCTGTTATGTAATACCATATATATTAATACTGAAGGGTGCTTAACTGCAGCTTAATCAGTTTAGATCCAGGCATTGTTCCAAAATAGTTCAAGAGAAACACCGAATGGATCTTGATTTACTGAAGAAAATGCTTTATGGATTTAGCTGAGTCTAATGCAATATTCCAAAGTTGAAGAAGTTGTCCTCAAGTAAGGCAAGTTTACGGCATTGATGGAGCAACAGTGCTTAGCAATGGCTTCTATTCTCACGCTTTGTTGTTTTGTCAATTATTTATGCACAATTACCAGGATCTCAAGTATCTGGATATCAATTTTATCACCCTTTTTATCAACAACTGAGTATACATCAATGCTAAAAATAAAATATAAAGACTAAAGTAAATGTAAAAAACAGTGAACAAGTAAAATAAATATAAGAATTGCACGAGACAGTGTGATGTAAACACTTCAATTTCCCAGCTGAGACTCCTGAAGCAGAGAGTCAGTGACTACGTTCAGGCGGCTTAGTTGGTACTCTTATTCCGGAAAAGAGGCTACAGCTTCTTTTTCTCTGAATTGTCATGATTTAATCTTCCACAGCTAGTGAAGAAATAATAGAAGTAGTGACCATTAGAGCCAGTCTTAATATCACAACTTATTAAATTATATCACATAATACTATTTTTATCTAAATTTCATTCACGAACAAGCCTATTTCTATTTTTTAAAACTCTTTTAACCTTTTATTGTCAAGAAGAACTCACCTTAAACAAGTAAAGTGAAAATCAGATTTCTCTTGCTTTCTTTTACAGGGAAGTGGCAATATAGATATACAACTAGTTTAATGTGAATAGTTTATACCTTATTCACTAACAGCTGAACATATATTGGAGGATATATATATTGCTATAGAGATAAATAATATAACTTTTGGCCAAAAAAAGAAAAAGAAAAAATAAATAGGGCTCTTTTCTTTTTTTATCAACTAAATTGGACTCAAATTATGTGAGTAAAAAATACTTCCCCTTATTTTATACAGAGTCCTATTTGTAATGAATACTATTCCAAATTAGGAGTTTCAATAGTATTATAAACAAAGAATGTTTATCATTATTTGAAATTAAGTGTAAAATTATTTTCACTAATTATATACAATATTATCAAAATGATTTGATTATTGTACATGTGAGATCGTAACAGAGTATTAGGGTAAAATAAATGTCACAGAAATGTAACAGGCCACTAAGTAAGAAAAAAGACCTGTAAGTTCTTACCTTTAAATTAAATCCCAGCAAGTCACTGATAACACCAGAAACAGCTGACAGGATGACAACCTGGGTGATGTTATAAAGCAGTGGGTTCATTGTGAGCCCATATAACCTGAAGGGACTGTCCAATTCCTAGAAGAAGAAGAAAATCATGAGCCTATATTCATTAAGAATTATCAGTGAAACTAATTCAGGGCAATATACAATGAGAATTTTTTACAAAACTTTCAAGAAACTGTTATAAACTATGGATAATTTTAGAAAGGATAAACTTGGTTAAACCTGAAATAAGTAAATCTACTTTAAGAGATTTTTGTGTCATTTTGTTTTTTAGGAGAAGGTGACATCCTTTAAAGGAATTCTGTAACCAATGGATGGCTGCCAGATCAGAAGGGCATTGGGAGGATGGGTGAAAAAGTGAAGGGATTAAGAAGTACAAATTGGCAATCACAAATAGTCACAGGGATATAAAGTACAGTATAGGGAATATAGTCAGTAATATTATAATAACTATGTATGGTGTCAAGTGGGTACTGGACTTATCAGGAGATCACCTTGTGAGTTATGTAAATGCTCAGCCACTATGCAAACACCTGAAACTAATATAATATCGAACATCCACTGTAATTAAGAAAAAACAAAATTCTATAATCTAAATCTGTAACTCCAGCTTCTATCTCAAATGAGTGATAAGAAAAGGTTTGGGAACATTTTTTTTAGTATAAGAATAGGAACTTAATATCTTTTAGCAGAAGAATTAGAAATTTAGTAAATTTTCTGACAATATTAATACATACATAAAAACTCCTTTTGAGACAATTACTTTTCCAACACATGAATTAATTGACTGATTCAAACATTTAAAGTTCTTTTAAAAAAAATTCTCACCTGAGGATATGTTTATTGATTTTTAGGGAGTGGGGGAAGAGAGAGGAAAAAAACACTGATGTGAGAGAGAAACATCACTTGGTTGGTGCCTGCATGAATCCCCACCAGGGATCACATTGTCAACCCAGGTATGTGCCCTGACAGGTAATCGAACCCTAACTTTTTTGTTGTCTGGGATAACGCTCAAACCAACTAAGTCAACCAGCCAGGGCTATAATTCTATTTTAGGCCAGGCCCAGTACTAGGCTCTAGGAAGTTAAGATTCAGTTTCTATGCTGAAGGACCTTACAGTCTAACAGACCTGCAAATAAATAATTAAACTATCAGAGTCCCACAGAAGAGATATGTATAAAAGGCAGTGGGCCATAGAGGAAGGTGCTCTTAACACTTAGGTGAGTAGGGAGAGTAGGTGTTCTACCAAGACATCGGAGAACATGTTACCTTTGAATTGCTAGAGGTTGCTCAGCATTTTTAGAGCCAAGTACAAAGGAAGAATTACTTCAAACTTATAAAACTGGCTACTTATGTAAGCAAGGATCATCCTTTGGGCAGACTGTATTGACAGACTGGCACTAAGGGAATTTAATTAGGGGAGTAGCACATTGGATGTGCACGTGAGAAAGGTCAGCAGGTCAGCAATGTGGAGGATGGATGAGAGCAGTGAAACCAGAAGCAGGAAGGCCTTGGAGTTCAGTATATCTAAAGCTTAACTGAGAGACGATGAGGGTCTGACTTAGGGCAGTATTGATAGGGAAGAGGGGATGAATTGGAAGATTTAAAAAAAAAAAAGATTTTATTTATTTATTTATTTTTAGAGAGGGGAAGGGAGGGAGAAAGAGAAGGAGAGAAACATCAGTGTGGTTGCCTCTCGCCTGCCCCCTACTGGGGACCTGGCTGGCAGCCCAGGTGTGTGCCCTGACTGGGAATCCAACTGGCAATTCTTTGATTTGCAGGCCAGCACTCAATCCACTGAGTCACACCAGCCAGGGCTTAGAAATTGCTTTTAAATCTCATCTTTATAGCTTCTTCCTGTCTAGCATAGTGCCTACACTCTGAAGATATTCAATATACATTATCAAACAAACCCACCATCCTCTTCTGAACCCTGTCAATGCCTAATATACTGTCAGGTGCAGTCTATACCAAATTAATACTTTGAAAGAATTAAACATAACACTGAATTAACCATAACACTGACACAACTAATTTCATAATGTTTTCTGAACACTTATAAAAAACTAAGAATTATATTAGTTTGTTATAGAAATTGAGAATTAAAAACAAAATTCCTTTAAAAAAAGAATTACTAACACTGTAAAACATTTTATTAAATTACCTCCAAAGAATTATTATGAAATCAGATATACTGAAATTATATTTTCTTTATTACCAAAAATGATTTGAAAATATAAGTGTTTATTGGTGACACATATTGTAATGATTACGTGTTACTACTTTTTGAGCTAATGCAGCCCAAGCAAGAGGACTGCTCTGAGAAAAAATTTCCAAATTAACATCAAATCTTATTTTTTAAAATCTGTTTTAGGTTTTAGGGGGCAAAAATTTCCAAGATGCCAATGCCACAATATTCTAGACATTGTTAAAAGTCTTAAAATTTCATAATAAAATAATTTGGATTATTTTGTTTAGTTTTGCAATGTGAAGTAAAATGTAAATTGTGTGAATATGCTCAAATATAATCTGGAAATAATGTGGATAATCATAAAAACCAAACACAAGGTAGGATCTACAAACAAAAGGGAGATATAATGTCAAAACAGCATATTCTACTTTATATCTATTTTTATTTTTTTACCTTTAGTAGTTTAGTAGCCAATTTCAAAACATTATTCACTAGTGTCAGTTCCTCTTTTTTGTTAGGTTTCTTCTCCATTTTCAAGTATAGGTTTATCTTTTATAAAAATAAAAGTAAATTAAAAATATTTAAAATTATTACAAATATTTATTTTTAAAAGAAATGGAAAGATATTCACTGAAATTTTAATGGTAGTTCTCTGGTTTTGATACTAATATTGATATTCTTCATACTTTACTGTATATTCCAAATTTCCTATATTAAATTTATTTTATAAGAAAATATTTAAATTTTAAAAATATAATTAAAAGCTGCAACAAGTAATGAAAACTGGATGTCATTACTTAAAAGGTGATACACTTTAAAACCCAGAGCCAAACCAACCTAAAAAATAAATAATACCTAATGTAAATCCTCTGGTTTGCTTGCTACTTTCCCCTTTCACTTTAACCAAGTTCATTTGATAAGGTTACCCATTTTTTTAAATCAAACTATCCCTGACAAAAATACTCAACAAGTCACTAGCAATAAGCTTCTATGAATAACTTCTATAAAATGATTAAGAAAACATTAAATAAATTCATACAAAAGTTAACCATCAACATTATTATGCTTTATCATTTCTATTGAATAAAAACTCATACTTATTCAAACATGGCGCTTCTATACTAAAAAGCAAACATATCCCACAAGTGGTTTAAAAACCATCATTTCTATAAATAGTACTTCTTGTTAAATGAAAATGAGACACAAAAACAGTAGGTTAGACTTGAATTCTACATCAAGGCAGGAACATTGGAGAAAGGCTTGCATCCTATCAAATTTCAAGTTTTGCTTTATAACATATGGTCTTAACCTAGTACCATAGTTTCCTCAATAACTTGAAGTAAATGAAAACATTTTAGTTTCATATGTACACTATAGAAAACATTTTAGTTTCATACGTACATTAATTTATAACATAATAAACATGCATTCTCACCTGTTCAGTAAGTAATATTGAGGTATTGCTATATTTTTTACTTGTTTCTGATCCAAGGGTAACAAATCTTAGGAGGAAAAGGGTTAACGAGATGCACCAGATTACCAGTTCCCAATTGTAATGACAGTCAAAGAAGATCTCATGCACATGAAGCAACTAAAAGTGTTTGAAAAAGGCAACATGAAGCAATGTTATTCGAACAATTCCTTAAGAGAAAATAACATTTTACTTCATACAAATTGATCATGAATGTAATATTACATTTTAAAAACACTTCACATATACTATGAAATACTTCAAACACATAAAAATGATAGGGTGTAATGTAATCAAAACCCAGGGGGCCTCTACCCATTTGTGTCAAATCTTGATATTTTGCAATATTTTTTCAGATTATTGAAAAGTAAAAGATAAAAGGTTCAGCTGAAGCTCTTTTAAACTTTTCCTTAATCATTATTCCCCTTCTTCTCTATCCCCTCTATAAGGGTAATAAATTTGGTGTTTATCTTTTCTTTGCAGTTTATAATTTAGCTACACGTATATCTTTAAACTATCTTATTTTATATATATTTTAGAACTTATAAGGGTTATTAGATCTACCTCATTCTTCAATTTGATCTTTATTCCACTGAACTTTGGTTTCAAGAATCACCCATGTTGATACATGAAGCTCAAACTCATTCATTCTAACTCCCATAAGGTACTACAGTGAAAGATTCAAGCACAGTGTATGGGCCTCCTCTATCCATTAACATTCATTTTGTTGCTAATTTTCCTTATTACAAAAGCGCTGCAATAAACATTCTATTATGCTGTCTTTGTGCACACATGTAAGACTTTCTCTAGGAGTTAATATCTAAAGTAAAATTGCTGGGTCCTTGGATATTCAACTTTATTAGGTATTATGAATTTGTCTCTAAAACAGTTGTTTGTACCAATTTGTACTCTCAGCAGTATTTTCAGTTTCCTTTGCCCCTCATTTTTGCCCATACTTGTTATTATTAAACCAATTTGATGTGTGTATACTTTATTTTTCCTGATTCTTAGGGAGAATGTTTAAGTCTTATATGTGTACTGATCATTTGGGTTTCATCTTCTGTAAGTTAAGTTTTTCTATTCCATGTCTACTTTTTCTCTTTTGCCTGCTTTTCTTATTGATTTTAGAAGTTATTTATATATTCTGAATAACAATGCCATGTAAGTCACATATCTTGCCAATATCTTTCCTAAGACTACATTTTGTCATTATGTAGTGTCTTTTGTAGCACGTAAAATTTTAAGGGTGGGGGTGGGGTAGAAGAATATATGAAACTGTATGAGGCAAAAATTCTAAAATATTTATTAACTCACTGTTTACAGAAGTAGTTTGCTGATCTCTGGCTTAAAGGATAAAATTGATTTTCTTTTTATGTTGACGTAACCATTTTTATTAATCTTCATCTTTTAAAAAATGTATGATATTTTTAATGATTTATGAAGTCACTTGGATGTTCTATATATACAATCATATAGTCTATGATTTTGTTTTTTCCTTTTTCATCTTTATATCATTTATTTCTTTTTCCTGTCTTCACTGGTTAGTACCCTTTATCAAAATGCTGACTAGAAGTGGTAGAGAGGTTGTGTCTTATTTCTGATTTTAAAATGAAGACCTCTAAGGTAATGAGTACTGTATGTACAATGTTTGCTCCAATTTTTGAAAGATATAATTTATCATATTAAGGACAATACTTTCCAGTCACTGCATTATAAATCTCCACTGAAACTTACCAATTTGTTTTCTGTATCTATTGAAATGATCAGATGTGTCTTCCTTTAACCAACTAAAGGAGCTCAAATTAGATTCATGGATTTTCTTTCTTTCTTTTTTAAAAGATTTATTTATTTATTTTTAGAAAAAGGGGAAGGGAAGGAGAGAGCAAGAGAGACATCATTGTGTGGTTGCCTCTTGCATGCCCCATACTGGGGACCTGGACCGCAACCCAGGCATGTGCCCTGACTGGGAATCAAACTGGTGACCCTTTGGTTCACAGTCTGCGCTTAATCCACTGAGCCATAACAGCCAGAGCAATTAATGGGTTTTCTAAAGTTGAAAATCTTTGCATTCCAGGAATAAACTATCTTGGTCACAGAGGATTTATTGTTATTAAACTGTTGGCTTTATCATCCTAGTATTTTGCATCTAAGTTTTTTTTTTAGGAAATTTACTCATGGTTTTGCATTTTCATATTATCTCTCTAGTGTTGATATCAAGGTTATATTAGATGCAAGAAATGAATTGGGGAAATATGCAGTTTTTCTCTCGTTATTTTGTGTAAGATTAGGATTACCTGTAAAAGCACATGAGTCTAGAGGGTATTTGTTGTTGGTAGATTTTTAAACTACTGAAACAATACTGCTTTATGGTTATAGATCTCAGTTTTCCAATCACTTTTTTGAGTCTGTTTTAATAAATTATGCAGTTCTACAAAACTGTTCATCTCAGCTTTGAACTTTAAATGACATAAACATTAAAAAAAAGTTAAAGCTTTTAACTTTAATGACATAAAGTAACTTACACCAATATTCTTTTGAAAAAATCCTCATCTGTCAGTATTTTCAGTTTAATACTCTGCTTTTTTCTTTTTAAATATTTATTATTTACATTTTAAAATTTCTAAATGTATGAGGTTTTTTTGTTGCTGCTACTATTGTCTAATGGTATTACAGCTAAATCAAGTGGTCTGTATATCAGCTGAGAATTACCTTATGGCCTAGAACACAGGAAAGTTTTTATAACTGTCCTTATGCCTGAAAAAAAATATGTATTCTCCAATTTTAGAATAAAAGTTTGACTATCTTGTTTAGACAAATATCTTCAATATATATTTCTGTCTGCTTAATCTATCATTACTAAAAAAATGTGTTGCTACCTCCCAATGTGGTATTCTGTCAATTTCTTACTACAGTGCTACTGATTTTGGCTATACCAGATATATTTGAAGTTACAAGACCAGATATATTTGAAGTTAAAGATCACATGCATACAAACTGATCTTCTTGATGAATTATTCTTTTCATTTTTGTCAGGCTTCTTTGATTTCAGTCTATTTTACTTGATATTAATGAAAGTTTACCAGCTTTCTCTTGGCTAGTGTTTGTCTTTTTCTATCCTTTTACATTTAAGACCTTTCAATATTATGATGTTCCATGTTGCTATCAATAAATAGATTTTATGTTTATAAAAGATAAAAAATACACTTCAGGAACATGGAAATTAAACCTTCAAGAAAAGACTGAGATGTAATTAGAAATTGGGAGTACAAAATTCAGTCTTGTTCTTTTGGTTGCTTTTAAGATTTTTTTTTGGTTTTTTTTTGTGTTCTACAGTTTCTATATGATGTGTCTAAATGTAGTGAAAATTAATGTCTTTCATCAGTTCAGAAAAACTCACAGCCGTTATCGCTCCAAATACTGCCCTCCCTCTTCTTTCCATCTAGAATTCCTGTTAGATGAATGATGGATCTCCTGTCCCAATTCCCTTTTCATTATTTCCATCTCTTTATCATTGTCTTATATTCCCTTATATAGAAGAGTAATTTTTTCCCTTCTCCCAGTTCACTATCCTCATCTGTTTTCAATCTACTTTTTTTCTTGTTTGTTGTATTTTTACTGTCAATGCCGTATTTTTTATTTCTCAGAAGTACTGTTTGGTTCCTCTTTTAAATCTATCTTTTTTAATAGTGTTACCCATGTGTTTATTCATTTTAAACAAGCTTATCTTAGAGTTTTTATCTGATCAGTCTATTATCTGAAGTAGGTGGAGATCTATTACTGCTGTTTATTGATCTGTTAATGTACTCATGTACTGCTTCTTCACTTGTTCTAAAACCTGCAGAGGCTTTATTTGTGAATATCTTGTGAATCTTAGGTTGAAGTCACATACCCTAGAACAGTCTTGGTTTTGCTTCTACTAGGTTTCCAGGAGCCTAGAACTACTTTTTATATTAACAGGGGTTACAGGACAAGACCTATAATATACATTTGAACCTGAACCTCTAGTAAGTGCAGATGTACCGTTCTTAGACTTTCCCCCACCTCCTTGCCAGAGTTCAGGCAGAGTCAAGAGACAAGCTTCCTTATCCCCTTCCTGTGCTGGTGGGCAGATTGCTTTCCTTATTCCACCTTTTCAGAGAGAGGACAGGCTTTTGAGGTTCTGGTTTTATGTGTAAGCATGGGTAAGAACATATTCAGGTTGAGGCCTTATCTTCTGTCCTCATGTGGACATAAAAATCTCAAGTCTCTAGGATACTAAAATTGACAATGTACCTCCCTTCCTTATCCTACAGCATCAACACATATACTTAATTGCTCTGTTTTTCAGTTTTATCTTCACTTTGGTCCCTTACTGTCTTATAAACTCAAGATATATACATAATATGCATATTAAAAAGCTGGGTTTTATTTTTCTAGCACAGTATAATGTTTTAAAGCAGAAGAATTTTCGGGTAATCTAGTATGCCATATTACTTGAAGCAGAAGTGTAAATGTCATAGTACACAATATATCCTGAGATACATTTGTGTTTCCTCACTAATCTTGGTCAATAAGAATTCTTTTAAGACATGATGCAGTCAAATCACAATGACAACTCAGACATAAAATAATTAATGTTAAATGTGAATAGAACAGAGATTCATGGAAAATAGTCCAAAACAATTTCATAACTATATTCACTCATAAGTTTGTTTGGGGAAATAAAGATAATCAGGTGAACTGTAGGCAAAAACTGATATTATATGCCTAATCAATAGACATGTGAGAATATGCTAGCCACTAATGTGACACAGAAATGAGTAAGATGCGTTTATTTATTGTACTGAAAAAAATAATAAACTGCAAAGAGCCAATTTCAAAACTGTGTAACTAGGCTTACTTATATTATTACTTTATTATTATACAACCTTCTGAAGCTGGATCTTTATAGTTATGATTATTTAATTTCTACACAAAACAAATTAACTCACCTGAGCACAACAGATAAACACCACTGAGATAGTCAACAGGAAAGCAGAGGAAACTATTACATCAACTGATCGCTGAGGACCTCGACGCTGGGGATAAAAAGGAAAACACTTTTAAATGTATTTACTAATCAGCAGCTAATTCCATGATTTCAATTAAGGTGCTGATCCATCACTAACAGTTGATCATTACTTACAATGTGGAAAATGGACTTCATTTGTCAGATGAACTTAAATTATAAAGGGTTAGTATTTCCTGAGGATTTGCAACACAATGAAAATGGTGAATATATAGCCTGGAATTCTTAGCATAACTTCCTAAATTCTTAACATAAATTCTTAGCATATTTTATTTTTTTCAAACACTAATTATTCACTCAACAAATGTTCCTTAAGCACCTGCTCAGAATGAGGTACTGTGCTAGATGGTGGAAATAAAGCAGAAGATAAAACAGACACAGTCCGTACCTTCACAGGAACCAGTAGGAAGTCAGACATCAATCTCATAAGCACAGATATATGTGATAAGTTGTGATGAGTGCTATGAAGGAAAAGTATAGGTTGCTTTGAGAAAACTGGTAGGGAGTCACTCCTTAGAGAGATCTTCCCAGGCCAACCCTCCTAACTCCCAAATACAAGATTGTGTGGGCCTAAGAAAGTCTTCCTAAGAAAGTGGTATTTATACCAAACTAGGTGCAGTAGCAAGAAGGCACATGGTAATATTCTTGGCAGAAGGAAGAGCATGTGCAAGAGCACAGAACAGGAGAAACTGTACTGCATTCAAAGAACTGAAGCAGTCTGTGTAGCTGGAATGTTCGAAGAAGTGTTTCAAAATTAGCAAGAAAAGACAGGCTACTGGCAAGAGCTAGGGCATGAAGGGCATTACAAGCCCTATTAGATTGTGTTCTTTAGCCTAAGGGCACTGGAGAACCTTCGAAAAGTTTTAAAATTATAGGGTCAAATCTACATTTTAAAAAAGATCTCAGGTGGCAGACTTAAGAAAGTACTGGAAGAAGGAAATACGAATGCTGGAAGGCCAGTTAAGAGGCAACTGCAGTAGCCTAAATTGGTTCCAATTAGCGTGGTGGAAATAGAGACGAATACAAGTACTGTAAATGAATTCAAGCCATATTATGGAAACAGAAAGGACAGAAACTGGTGATAAACTGGATGTTGGAAATGCAAAAGAGGGAAGTAAATTCCAAGGATAATTCCAGGTCTGGAGTTTAATGTCACTGAAGTGTAAGGGTAAGGAATTTCATCTCATGGACGGTGGATGGCATGTGGTTAACATTAAATAATTGTTTTCTGAACAAATTAATCAACGTACAAAAGAATGCAATACTATGCAGAGTTGACAGAGGAGGGAGATTTGGGATGGCTTCTTGCTAAGTCATGCAACGAAGACTTATTCATCCCTCCGTATAACAGAAATGTCATAGTGAGAAAAAATAATCTATGCCAATTTGTAGCATTGCCCAATGGAGACTAAGTTAGTTGAATTTAACAAGTTAAGTAATCAGAACAATGAATATTTTAAATAGAAGGGTAGACAAAAAGTGCAAACTTTTTTCATTTCTTTCACTGTTACTTCAAAATAAAGTGCATTAAAGACCTAGGTATGTTGGAGAATATTTGGTGAAATCCTTACATAATAAAATTCATGGCTACTTTATGCAACAAAGAAATAATCTTCAGAAGTATTTTCCTAAAATTAATTAAGAAATTTTCCATTCCTACCTGAGGTTTTTTTTTTTAGTATCTTACCTCCATAATTAGGAAAGTTATTTTAAAAGATTAAAGAAAAAGAACAGCATTAAAAGAATGGCTTAGAATGGGAAGCTAATATTTTAAAATAGTAATAGGTCACTTCACTGAGGGGACTCTTGATTTCAGATTATTTTTTAGATTCTTTTTTAAGCAGTGGGCTCCCTCTGCTGGCTTGTAATAACCATCCCAGGTAGAAACAAAAGGTAAGATTTATGAACAAAGATAAATTTAGGACAGTTTGATCTTGAATCATCTACTTCAAATTCATTTACACCTTTTAGACTTCAGGTGTTTTTCTACAAAGAACCAGTTAAACATTTACTTTGGATTTCAGCCTATGGAGCACAACAACCACTAAGTATGGCTCCACAGCATTACGTGAGTATGTATGTGAGTACACATCTAGACATAACCTTCACATTAACAAAGAAAGGGGAACTCTGAGAGGGAGCCCGCACATTAAGAGTATTTTTATCACTATTATTCTACCTTAAGATAGGACCGAAGAGATAGCCACATTTTTATATTTTGTACTTTCTTCAACCGGAAATGAGGAACCTCAGATTTTCGAGCCCTCCTTGCTGATGTTAAATGTCCAAAGAGTTTTGCAAAAAGTAAGCGCTAAAAAAGATAAAGGTAAAGGTTAATTTTGAAGTAGATTACCAAAGTAAAAGTCAACAAAATGTGGACTGTATGATTTTATTTGGTTAAGTACTACAAAAACAAAACAAGAAATAAATTAGCATATCAAAATGATTTAATGAAATACTAAGATATTTCAGGAATACTTTGAATATTGGGAATAGGATAAAATATTCTCTATTCAGAAGTCTACAATATACCCACCTGTTTATAAGTTCTTTCTGCTACACAGAGCAAAAAAAAGAAAATCCACACAAGAGACACACGAACCACAAAACTTATAATAACCATAGAAAAAACTATGACATCTTCATTAGAACCGAATGCAATCAGATAAAGTTCTGAAGCAGAATGTGCTGTGAGTTGTTCCAAGTCTGTAGCTTGGGAGAGTCGGAAAACAAATGGAGTTAAACCCAGGATGACAGAAATTGCATTTCCAAAAATCTGGTATCCTATTCCTGGTACATGGCTATTCACCTTTAGAGAGAGAGAAAAGAAAAAAACTTACACAAATTTCACCTACACTAAAATGAATTCCTATTAAGCATGATTTTAGTTACAGCAATGTTCAATTGGTTTGTTAAAATACATTAGTTTTAATACAAAAGTAATACAATTTAAATTTACTCAAAGTTTGAGAGCCTATTACATGTAAAAAGTAAGTCATTATTTCTTCAGTTTTAAAAGACAGTTCATTATCAGATCTCTAATTCATTGAGTAGATGCAAAAAGAATGAACTATCTTGGTCTTACCCAGATGTTAAAAAAATCCTATGTATCTCATTATTTCAAAAGTTAGAAAAACAGGGTAGAGTAATTATAAAAAAAGGAAACTAGGAATTAAATCATTGAAAAAGATAAGAATGGCAGAACTTGGAAAAAACCTTAACTATCATCTAGCTAACTTTTTAATCATTTTATATATTATGTAAGTGAGTTGCTAAGTTCACCAATAATTAAAGATGTAGAAAACCAACTAGAGATTCCTTGTCCATAGCTTTTCATTTGCTTACAGTGAGATATGAAAGAGAAAGTAGATCAATTTCTACACTCAGTTATTTTAATTCCAGTCCTACTAAAGTGTGTACAAGTTGTAGTATAACAACGCATATGAAATTTAGAAATGGAAATTATATCGCGACTAGTTGTCCAGAGGAATCAGGTAAAAATTTCAGAGTAGCAATGATCTGATAAAAAAACAATTATAATAGGAACTGAAATGAAAATCCACAGTATTTGTACTCTACTCTCAACTACTCAAGATGTTTACCCCTAGCTGAATTTCTTCTATACATTTAACTAGGCAAGCAAGTATCAATATGAATTTTCTTCTTAGAATTTTTTTTTTTTTATGTCTGGGCACTAATAAATAAATGAGCCAGGAGTGATGATAAAGAAAAATAAATCTTCATCACAACTTCTAAATATCTAGCAGCTCCTCAGTTTGATCCACTGAAAGCAAGAGAAAGAATAATATAAAAGAAGAAAATTTTAGATTATATCTATGCTTAGTTACAAGAATAAAAATGATAAAAGATGAGAGTGGTTTGCTGACAAATCACTGTTTAAATGAATGACAAAGTCAACTACAGATAACTTTCTTTAGGTTGGAAAAATGAGGTGATAAGCATAACAGTCCAGTACTTAATTAATATGTTAATATTAATAATCACTGTTTTATCCTTGACCTAAAAGAATAAAAATTAAAAAAACTCACTCGGTTCATTATCATTCCACTGATTTCCAGTACAGACATATCTGCTTTCTTACAGTCGTTGCCTTCCCATACTATAGCGCTTATCTTTTCTAATCCTGGGTGGGCGCTGTGGAGCCAGGGCAAATGACTCTATGAAAAACAAACAGAAATCGGTGAATATGTTTATCTCATTTCACAAAGAAAACATACACATGTATATACATATATACATACACACAATTTTAACTATATTAAAAACAGAAATAGGTGAATGCATTTGTATTTTATAAATAGAACATATATAGCTATACATAGCTATATATGTATCTATACCCACAGAATTCAATGACACTAAAATTTTTTCTTAAGATATTCGTTATAAGCCCTGCCTGGCTGGTGTAGCTCAGCGGATTGAGCGCAGGTCTGCGAACCACACAATTGTGGTTCGATTCCCATTCAGGGCACATGCCTGGGTTGCAGGCCAGTTCCCAGCAGGGGACTCACGAGAGGCAACCATACATTGATATTTCTCTCCTTCTCTCCTTCCCTTCCTCTCTAAAAGATAAATAAATAAAATCTATAAAAAAAGATATTCATTATAAAAATATGTTATGAACTTTCTGTAACATTAGGCAACATGTTGTTCAAAAATACTCTAAAAATGTGTCAGCAAAAGCACTTAGTTGTGATCTGCCTACATAGCTACTAATGTTCAAAGACAAATGAATATCACACTGTTCATATTACTGATAGTTCAATTTATGATCATCCAATAAAAAATGACAACTGAGATTTAAACCTCTTTGAAAGAGTAAATAGTGATACAGTATCATCCTGAAAGACACTCTTCCTCATACATCTACCCTTAACATTTGATTTACTTCTCTGATATTTTATTCTATTATTTCTCCAAAGGATCAATTTAACTTTCTTTTCCCCAGAGCAAATACTGCAAACTGAAGCACACAGAACTAGTACTTTACCAAGTAATACGAAGTGTTTCTCAAAGTTTCAAGGAATTTAAAAAAAGCTAAAAAAGAAAAACCGAAAGCTTTAATACAAAGGATCAGATGCTTACATTAGTTTTTGGTTTGCTTTAGATCTATAATTAAAGAAATAAAAGTTCAAAACAGGATAGTTGGGGGTTAAAGATAGCAACACAATTAATGAAACAGTAATCTTTACATTATCAGATACTGATAGAAGTAACGCTAAAAGATTAGACCCAGAATGGGATGAATTTCTTTGCTGACATAGTATTTCTACACTGATTTTATAACATATTTCATTAAAATGACTTCTAATAATAAACAGAATAATCTATTCTACTTTTATTTATTCTTTGGAGGACCAAAGATGATTAAAAATAGGATTAAGCTATATTTCTGTAATTTTTTTAAAGATTGTATTTATTTATTTTCAGAGAGATGGGAAGAGAGGGAGAAAAACATGAATGTCTAGTTGCCTCTCGTGCCCCCCTTATTGGGAAGACCTGGCCCCCAACCCAGGCATGTTCCCTGACTGGGAATCAAACTGGCAGCCCTTTGGTTTGTAGGCTGGCACTCAATCCACTAAGCCACACCAGCCAGGGCTGTTTCTCTAAATTTAAGGAATATATTTTCCTCTAGGGTGTGCAGAGTTGCACTGATTCATTACAATTAAAGGTATAAAATGTAATTCAACAATATGTAAGCAGATGAGGGAAATTATTATTCTGACCTCATTAATTTCATTTATGTAAAATTATATGTACCATGTTTACTATAAACAGCATAAAAACTGATGAATAATTACAGGTAAACCACAATGCCAGTAGTCACAGTATGGGCAAAGCTCTTTTGCATATAGCTATTTGACTATCAAGAGGTTTCTTCTAAAAAAATTTACCTTTCCCAAAGACAGAGCATCTTAATTTTTAATGGATTTACGAGAGAGAAGAAAGGAGAGAGAGAAAAATATCAATTTATTGTTCCACTTATTTATGCATTCATTGGTTGATTCTTGTATGTACCCTGAAAGGGGACTGAACCTGCAACCTTGGCATATCAAGACAATGCTCTAACCAACTGAGCTGCCCAGCCAGGGCTCCAAGGACATGGTATTTTAATATACATTAGCCTTAATGGTATATTCACTTAATGGTATTTCATTACTGGAGAGCCTTAAGAGCTATGATATACTGGTAGTTAGTTAACCAACCACAGATTTCAACCACTGACACAGTCTATCTCCCCCAACCCTCTTTACTTCCCTCCCTCCCTTTCTTTTAACTCAGTCTGTAACAGTGAATTAAAGGTTTTCCAATTACATGAAGCAAGGAATATCAATTCCATAAAGGTCCATCGAGAGAGAGAGAAATCAAGTTCTTCACTCTCCTTACAACCGTACTCATTTTGCCTAGCTACTTTCCCAGTTACTCTCACTAGATTTGTTAATCATTTTCCCATTTCTAGAAAGACAAAGAAAGCCATTAGATAAGAGAGCAACTAAAAACTGGTCACTTTAAAAGAGTTAATTAAAAAACCCTATGCCTGTGTATTTGTCAAGTGTACGTATGTGTGTGTGTTTGTCAAATGTTATGTATCCTGAAAAAGTCTTGTTGAAACATACTGCCTAAATGTATGGAGAGCAGCATTACATAAAATATTTTTTTAAAGGTTCAGGAAAAGCATCGGAGCAAATAATACCATTTTGTAATTTTATCACATAGGTTCTTCTTCATGTTGTTCAAACTGAAATTTGGAGCTCTTTTAATGATTGTTTTATCCCCATTCAAAATCTTAACTGCTTTGCTCCTTGTTCAACCAAAATTGCCTGAAAACCATGACACTTAAGTGGTGGCAGGTTTTATTTCAAATAAATTCACATGACAACTGCTTTAGTGGAGTTTCCACCTGTGGGAGCTGTCTCCATTAAAATCTGACTTTTCCCACTGAGAGATGAACTTTACTTAAATATGGCTTTATATTTTATTGTATAGTCAGTCATTACTAGAGGAGGAAAATTTTCTCCTGTAGAAATGCTTGAGTAACTATTTAAAAAGAAAATAAAACAAAACTACAAAATTTCCCGTGCAGAAATGTTTCAGTTACTATTGAAGAAGAAAATAAAACTATAAATTTGACTAGAGTACACTGATTCAAAAGCTCAGTGTTTCTTCATGAGGGATTTTTCAGTGTTTATGATAGACTAAAAAGGGCCCTCCAAACCTAGTAAGAAAAAAACCTGGTAGCTTCTCATTAAAGAGGGCTAATTTCCATTACATGACTACTAGTAAAACTGAAAACTTCAGCTTATTTTTCAGAAGTCTGAGAATAACAAATGTGTGTAAAATCAAGTCTTTCATCCCAAAGTAAAACCAGTGGAAAAACAGAATTTTATAATTAGATATGGAGAGTAGAACATTAAAATCTTTCTTACCAAAAGAGAAGCAGAATGAGTGAAAGATTTAGGGCAAATGTGTTCTGTATAGGATTCATTAAAAACAAATTTTAATTATTTAGGAAAAGCCTAATTAGCATGCTTTAAAATTTTTTTATTTCATTTCATTCATTCACTCAAGTTATATTTATTAAACACCTACTGTGTACCAGGCACTGTATGATACAATGAGCAAAAGAACACACAGTCCTTGCTTCTGTGCAACTCACAGTATCTCTGGGATAAGAGTTCACGGGCATTTTTTTAAACCTCAATTCCAGGTGTTATCCTCAGTGACTTGGACGAATATGCAAATAACTGCATTCATCCTCATGAATCAACCCTATTCTCACTGATTGTTCATTGCCTTTTCACTTCTTAAATTCCAAGGAACTTTAGCTATTGCCATGGCCACAACCTGGACCGTTACCACACAGAATTTCTTTACTTCTAAAATGAGTCTTTAACCACACCTCTGATCTTACCAAGTCTCTCCAACTTTCAATTCTAAAACATTGTTTCCTTGAACACACCTATCCTTCAACCTACCAATCTCTTCTTGGTTTCATTTTCTTCCCAATCTAACATGTCTAGACCCTTAACACATCCATTATTTCCATCGGTATATCATCTCCTCTCCTGTCTCTTGAATAACAGCTATTTACTTAGTGAGCACCTACGCTGTGTGACTTTGGGTGCATTATTTAATTCTGGGCCTCAATTTTCTCATCTATAAAATAAAAAATAACCAACTGTCATAGGTTGTGAAGATTACATGAGATAATGAATCTAGATTACATTGCACTGTACCTGGCACACACTAAATGCTTATTAAATATCTGCTGTTATGATTATGATGACTATATTCTAGAAAGTATCACACAACTGTGTGGAATGAGCACCTACAAATTCATGGTTTCAAATTCTCACTGGGCCCTCAACAATGTGACACTGTGACTTTTTGAATTGGCACTGACTACATAGACACACATACTCTCTCCACTATCTCCATTTCCCTCAGATGGTAACTTCAGGCCTTCATTATCACAAGTCCCCTACCCTATCATCCACTTATTGTTAACAGACCCACTAAGCCCCTGCACTCACGGAACAGAGAGCATCAGGTGGGAACTCTCTCATCATTGTACTTGCTTCATGCACTCTTCCTTCTCCTCCTGTTTCAACAAAAGATGTATCCTTCTTCCTGCTGAAGAGAAATTCAAGCTTCCTACTTATGCTTTCCCTCTGGAATCCTAACATCATTCCATTTTTCCTCTTGTACCTCTTCAATTCTTCCCTACTGGTTTTCTCCTATATCAATATGTGCTCAAATATTTCACATCTTTGGGAGGGGGTGGGACCTAAAACTGTTTCCTCATCTAACTAGTACTTCCTTTTCCCCAAACTTTCCCAACCCTACTTCTTAAACCTCATTCCTCAGTCAACTCCCTATAGCAAAGCTTCTTTCCCTGACACTCTCCTTTAACCGATGCCCAAACTAATGTATATATTTTTAAGTGAGACGTTTCAACCAGATGATGTTAACAATAGTTGGTTTTATCATATTTTAACTTCCCCTCTTACTTGCTCCAGATATTTTATGTTTTATTTATTTTTAAAGATTTTATTTATTTATTTAGAAACAGGGGAAGGGAGGGAGAAAGAGAGGGAGAGAAACATCAATGTGTGGTTGCCTCTAACATGGCCCCCACTGGGGACCTGGCCCACAACCCAGGCATGTGCCCTGACTGGGAATCAAACCGGGGACTCTTTGGTTTACAGTCCAAGCTCAGTCCACTGAGCAACACCAGCCAAGGCTGCTCCAGATATTTTAATTAAAAAAATGTTACAGGGAAAACTGAAACTCACTTTGTACTTCATCCCCTTTTATTCTCCAGATTTTTTACCCTGTTGGTTTACTATTCCCTTGTATGTTTTTATACTCCTACTGCATATGGTTTTATCCATAATAATATATAATACAGTCTTGCATGTTTTAAAACTTTGTATAAATGGTATATTATATGTATACTTCTGCAACTTGCTTTTTTCATTAACAATTCGCAAGATTTATTCCTTTTAATATATAAAGCTTTCATTCAATCTCACTGCTACATTGCTTTATCATATAACCATGATGTATTAATTCTATTGTTGGTTACTACATTATTTTTCATTTTCAATATCATACACATAAAAATTACTTTGATATGTCTCCTTGTGCCCATCTTCTAAGGTTTCCTTAGAGAAGAAAGAGTCCTAGAATATACAGGCCTTCAATCTTACTACATAATGTTAAACTGCTCTCCAAAGTAGTTGTACAAATTCATAATTAACATCAGCACTGAATGAGTTCTTTCCTCGTATTCTTACTAATACTAAAATTTATCAGATTAAATAATTTTTGGCAATCTGATCAATATGAAATTGTCTCTCGTTCTAATTTACATTTCCCTGATTACTGAGAAGGCTGACCATTTGTACTTCTTATATATTAGGCCTCTAGGGGAAGAGCCTGTTCACATCCTGTGTCCGTTTTTGAGTCATCCGTCTTTTACTTGTTCATCTGTTGAAGTTCTTTGTGTGTTCTGTACAGTAAGACTTTTTATAGTTCATGTGTTGGGAATATCTTCTATCACTATGGGTGGCTTGTCTTGTAAAAATATCTATGGCTTAATTTGTAGCTCAAAGTTTTACATTTGAAGATATTCAAATGTGTCAATCCCCTAATTTTTGATGTTTGCTTGTGCTTTTTGTATTGTTTAAAAATTCTTCTCATATCTGAAGAAACAAAGATTTTTCTCTTATGCTTTCTTCTAAGTATTTTAAAGTTTTGCTTCATATTCAGAAGTTTTTTTTTTCTTTTAGGAACTATCTGGAATAAATTTTTATGTATGGATAATCGTTTGACCTACAACCATATACTGTATAGTACCTCCTTTTCCCACTGATTTGTAATACCACTTATGCTGTATGTTAGGGATCCATCTAAGCATATATCTATTTCTGAGTTTTCTATTCTGACCCATCAATTTATTTGTTTATATGCTGTCTTAGTCTCTTTCGGATGCTATAACAAAATACCATAGACTGGATGGCTTAGAAACAACAGAAATCTATTTCTCACAGTTCTGGAGGCTACAAAGTCCATACATCAAGGTGTCAACAGATTCAGTGACCGGTGAGATCTGCCCTCTTTTTGCTATTATCTCACATGGTGAATGGGACAAGGTGGCTCTCTGGGGCCTCTTCAACAATGGCACTAATCCTGTTTATGAGGGCTTCACCCTCAATGGCCTAATTTCTCCCCAAATACCCCATCTCCAAATATGATCATATTAGGGATTAGCTTTCAACATACATATTTTGGTGGGAACACAAACATTCAGTCTATAGCATACACCTACATCATACTATCTTTTTTTTTAAATCCTCACTTAAGGGTATTTTTTCTTTGCTTTTTAGAGAGGAAAGAAGGTAGAAAAGAAGGGAGAGAAACCGATGTGAGAGAGAAGCATTGACCAGCTGCCTCCTGCACACATCTGAGTTGGGGATTGTACGGACCTAGACCCGGAATGATCCTGCAACCTTGGTATGTGCTCTGACCGGGAATCAAACCTGTAACCCTTAGGCTACAGGATGACTCTCCAGCTAACTGAGCCACACCAGCCAGGGCCTGTACCATACTACCTTAATTACTACACCATTAAAGTAAATTTTTACATTCAGTATAGAAAGTCCCTGTTGTTCTTCAAAAATTCTTCTGCTATTGACACATTTTGTTCTTTAATGTGAACTTTTAAATCCAAGTCCAATTGAAAACAGATAAGCATACTGGTAGAATGTTGATAGAAAAAGCAGTGATAATGCTCCTAAAATTTCATCATTAAATATGTAGGGTTTTAGAAAGTTCTTTGATAGCTACCTTTTATCAGATTAAGGAAGTTCCTTTCTATTTCTGGTTTTCTAAAGAGTTTACTTGCTGGTTTTGTTAGGATTTCAGGAGAACTTGAATAAGAGAAAGAGGAAAGCAAGTAAGAGTGAAGATTTTAAATGACCTTGTCAGGTTTCTAGACAGATGAGTGGATGGATGGAGATGTCATTCATCATGAGTATGAATACTGTAAGAAAAACAGATTTATAGGGGAAGATGATGTGCTTGGTTAAATCTGAGGTACTGCTGGGACATTCAAATGAAGGTATCCCATAGACTTGTGGTTGTCTGAGATGGTATACCCCACTCCCATGTGGCTACTGAGCATATGAAATGAGGCTAGTCCACATGAGATGTGCTCTAAGTGTTCACAATAGATTTTGAAGACTTAGTATAAAAAATAAAAACTATTTCATTAATATTTTTCATATTAGTTACATGTTGAAGTGATATTTTGAATATACTGGGTTAAAGAAAGGATAATAAAATTAATTTAACCTTTTTAAACATCTTTAATGAGGCTACCAGAAAAATTTTAATTATATATGTGACTCATTATTTTCTATTAGACAGCACTACTATAGGCACTTCGACATAAAAATCTGATATTCATGAAATATACCTTTGTGAATTACCTTACAGGTAAAGCTAAGGCCACAGGTATAGTTAAATCTGATTATGAAGTATGTTGAGTGAGAAAAAGACTATTGTACCTAAAACACAATTGGACTTACAAAACTCCATTTACCAAGAGCTTTTCAGAAACATATGTTTGCAAGATGAAAATACAACCATAACATAAATACTGAGATTCTATGTTCCTATGAAGTCAAACCGCAGCTCACAGTTAAAAAAAATTATAGGACTATTATAATACTTAATTGAATGTAAGCTTTTTCTTTACTTCTATAAAATTCAAATGTCTACACACATTCAAAGGAGATGGACAAATAGCCCCACATAATCCAACACTGTAAACCAACCTGGTGAAAAGGATCGTCTCTATATTCTTTTTTCACACATGGATTAATATGAGGATTTTCCATATCTGTCTCACTGGTACAAGATGATCGGCATTCTGCACAATGTAACAAGTCTTCCCATAATACATCTTCTGTTTCAGATTCTGGCCTTGTGCTCTCAGAATCCTGTCTGGAACTTGAACAGCGAGAGCTGCAACTAGTACCCGATTTAGGGGCATCCTGAAATTAAGATATTCTTTGACATTAATACAATTTATGTACCCTTTCCAATTCAAAGGATCCTATTGAAACCATATATTGCTACTTTTTTTTCCAAGACAACAAATACACTGTCGAGTGACAGTGAAATAGGTAGCAAAACATTAAAAATGCAAATTAGTTTTTAAGGAGTAACAAGATTTCCTCATATCAAAATTTCACATTTCAGCTCAAGTGTTATTTTGCATGGAAAGACTGTGTCTTCTCTTAAACTTTATATGAAGTTAAGAATTCAGGTAGGCAAAGACTAGACTAAATTGATATGGACTGCATAGTCACCCACTGTGACTGATGTGTTTAATGGAGTTTTCTCACTTAGACCTTTCTAGCAACAATAGATTTCCTTATCTATTGTTTTTGTTTCTCAAATAGCAGGTTCTATAAACTGACAAAAAATTAACATATAATCTATACCTTGAAGATAAATGCCACTTCATGTTTTTGAGATAGTCTATGATATGAAAAACTAAAAGACACAAGTTAAATAATTTCTAATCAATTTACTTTTTTCCTGAGTTTTTAAATGTACACAATAAAGTAAAAATTTGATTTAAATGAATCCAAAATAACTTCTACTGAATAAAGAATAATAGCCATCCTTATAGCAAAGTGTGCTGAAATTTTAGATTTGTTTTTAGCTATCCTGTCACTAAGATTTGTCAATTCCACCTTTAAAATGTTTTGTAATTATCTCTTTCTCTTTTCCATGTTATCACTAGATATCATTCATACTTTTTTGCTATGAGAGCCTCCTAAGTTACCCCTATCTAAAAGGCCTTCCCTCTTTCCAGATAAACCTGCTTCAAGTACAGCTAGCTGTTCTTTCACTCCTCTGACCAAAACCCTTCTGTAGCTTCCTACTGCTGCTCTCCTAGATAAAACTTAAATACCTTCACCTAACATGCTGATCTTCAAACTGGCTACTTTTGGACTTTGTTTTCCATTTTCTGTACCAGAGCCTTCTCCCGCAGTGACAGCAGGCCACTCCCTAACTCCTCAACACAGCTTGTTCTTTGCCTCTCCAGCCTCTGAGTTTGCTCCTGACTCTCATTATGAATTCTACTCTCCTTTAAAGCCTACTCAACAAAGTGTCGGGAAATTACCATCTCTACCCCTTTCTAGATGTCCTACCTTATTTCTGAGCCTCAGTTTAGTCATCTACTGATACCAATGGGGAACAGACTACCTACCTTAAAGAGATACTGAAAATTAAATGAGCACTATAGCTTTTAAGACAAACCTGTATGAAGGTGGGGTTCAACAAATATTATTTTAAAGTCCTCAATTTAGAGTGAACACTTTGTCCTCTAAGTGATTTATTATTATATTCGTTTGACAATAAATTGTCTTGTTACCCAACATCTTGTTACCCAAAGATAATTAATATTATCTATTAATTAAATGTTCATGTATTTCATATTCTCAAACAAATTGTAACTCTCAAATACACTATATATCAAAGACAGAAACCATCCTTACAATAGGTAATATCTTTAATTAATGAGATATATTATTGATAATTAACATATAAATATTAGAATGAACATTTAATGTGAAAAAATTTTGTGGGAGAATTGAGAGATAAATAAAATTATTTTGAAAGAACTGAATAAGAAAATGAATAAAGAAATAAAAAGAAAAAATTGCAGAGAAAAAGGGCAAAAACTTGTGTTTTTGGTTTTTTTTTTTACAAAAAAACCCCTGGAAAAACATTTCTGATTCACTGTCAAGCAGACTACTTGAAGCATAAGCAGTTTCATCACAACAGTTTTCATAAGATAACAAGGCACAGAATATATTAAGCAGTCGGTAATTGCTTATTAAAAATTTTTCATAAAAATAGCTTATTATCTATTGCTAACTTCTGATGCAGACTTGCTAATCAGATAAATAAAGAACAGATTAAATGCCTGATAACTGTTTAACTGACTCTAATGGGTGATATCAGGAATAAGAAAATACCTATAATTCCTTATAAAAGTACTTTGCCAAATACTGATTAATAGTGGAGCCATTTATAAATGTATAATGTAAAAAGTATTGCCTATAATAGCTTACATTTCAAACAGTATTTTACCTGCAATATTTAGGCAATGAATGGCCAGTTGGAATTTCATTACAAACTACTGAATAAAGATTAAAAAAAGAAAATTACAGAATTAAAGAAAACGGCTCAAATTAATAGCACATTTAATTTAATTTGCTCAGCTTATTTTAAATCTCTAGACAGCCAAAACAGCATATAATCAAATTAAGAGAAGGATTATTTATTTGAAAGGAATAAGCATTTATAACATAAGTGCTTTGTATCAGGCAATTATGCATAATCTTATTTAATCCAAAAAATCTGATGCTCCTGTTCTCCTTCTCGCTCCATTACACTGGCAGAAACTGAGACTCAGAGAAGTTAAATAATTTTTTCAAAGTCACTTAAATAGTTTGATTCCAAGCCCATAGTCTCTTCATTGTTTTCCATCAAATGCTACCTTTCTTGAAAATCTTATCAATAGAGAATAAACAATAGAGAATAAATATTAAAAGACACTTGTAGAGTTAAAATCAGGACAGAATATGAAATAAGACAAATGCTTCTAAGCTATCACAATTCCCAAGGATACCTTCTATATCCCAGATAATCATGTAATTCCATCATCTTCCCAAGAGGTGACTGAAAGAAGCCAACCAGATATAGTAAATAGGAGAAAAAGGCATGAAACTGGGTTAAGGGTGGGAGGTAAAGGGGGCTGAGTAAAAGTCAACACATTGAATGGTAAGATCACTACCTCATCCTCAGCTCCCTAGGTGCTAAACACATTGGTAGCCTAGTATAATATCTGGCATCCCCATGGACCAAAGACTACGTGATTTTTCTTGAAAAATGAAATGCCCCTAAAAATGTAGATCTATAAATAGTGAGGCTTATTTATAGATCTCAGTCACAAAGTGCTTCTACAAATTATTTATTTGTGCCTCACCCTCAAATAAAAAATATCACCAACAATTTGAAGAGAGTTCGGTAATATATACATAAAGATACAAAACAACATTATAGATTTTCTCTCTCAATTCTACTTACAGGAGGTTTTGTTTTGCTTTATGTAAAATAGTCTCTGAAGCTGGTTTGAACTGAGTCAAAATATTTTGGAACTGCATGCAGCTTTTTAAATTTCTAAAGTTCCTTACCTTATAGATGAAGAACTGGAAAACTAGATTTTATTTTTATGTAATCTTTTATATCATTAAAAGAAGATGTAAAAAAACCAATGCCTACTAGCTAATTATCAGCCTTACTTAAGCGTGAAATCTAGAAGATTTTAAGCAACATATGTACTGAAAAGTTAATTAGAAGATAATGCTCTGCCCTTTAAGAATCTCAACAGTTCAAACCACAGCTGCAAGCCCAAGAACAGAAGAGATTATGGAGTGAGAAAAGTATCTGTGAAGGCAAATAATTTATTCTATGGGAAAGTGGAGATCTTCTATATGAGATCCTAAATCCCTTTCAGGACCAAATGACTTTTCTGTCTGTACAGTATGATTTTGGACTTCACAAGCATGGTTACCCAGTTTTGGAACAGAGAACAGTAGTGCACCAGATGATGTGGGTGAAGAGACAAAGAGCAGACACACTGGCATTAGTGTCTGTGTGATGACAGCTACTGAGAGAAGAAAAATACATGGTCGCCAGAAAAATTAACTAGAGATAAAAACACAGAGAAGAACACATAAACAACAAGTTAACTCTTCACTTTTTAAAACCGAAATTATTCAACATTCCAGATCAGCATATTTGATTTTTGCAAAAGTTTAACCCTAAACCATTAACAAAAATAAGCTAATACAGTCCAAAAAAAGAAGTAACAGAAAAAGTAATTAATTTGTTTGGAAGCCAAATAATGAAATGTTCTGTCTTTAGAATAAAAACTGAAAATACAATTGAATAAAAGTCTTTTTCCATTTAAATAGTTTCAAGAGATATGGTAATGTCAAGAGATGTGATAAGTTAGAAAAGGGTTTAGAAAAAATAAATATTAATAAAAAATAGAATCAAAGAAGAAAAAATACTGAATTTAGTAGTATGGGCAACTTAATAACTGGTGATAAGAACATAAAGAAAGTCACTTATAATAACTTTGCTATAATCAAGTAGTTATACAGCCTTTCAAGTTATGGGAAAGACTAACAAAGGAGCTCATAGACTCTCTCCAGGACGGGCTTCTTTAAAAGTAGACAAGAAACTGAATGTATGAGTCTTTAGAGATAATATACAAAATGAGTACAAATGTGTGGCTATTTATTATGTGTCAAACATGTAAATCTAAAACTGCTATTCTATAAATCCAGATCATATAACAATAAGATATTGATACTCATGGGAAATGTTATTTAAATAATTATATTCATTGTTGAAAAGAAGCTATAAATTAGTAATACATTGAATAATACAGAATATATATATATATGCGCATATGTAAGGCCAAAGTATATACCTCATTAGGGTAATGTTTCTTATAATGGTGTGACTTCCTATTCCGAAGAATGCTCTCAGAAGTCCTGTCCACATGATGGCGTAATGGGTACCCTGTTTCAGGACCTTCCTCGCTGGAGACTTCATCAGAGACATTTGTCCTTGTCCTTTGGGTATCCTAAAATGGAAGGTACAAAAAGAAGGTTATTGGTAATTTCTGACTTACCCTGTAGTTTTAAAAGTGCGAAATTTAAAATTATACATACATACGAGTGGGGGAAGCCCCCCAAACTGGAATTTTCTTCTGGAGGGTGGGTCTGTTGTAGCACAGGCTTCCCCACTAGGCGAATGGTCAGGGAACCCATCTGTATCAGTGCACCAGTTGGCACTGTTGTGAGAGGGTGTATTTAGCTTCAGTGAACCCAGTGAACTTTTTTTGAAGACTCTTTCAGCATGTTTGCCCATTTCAAAATGGGCGATTTACGAGCACATTTGCCCACATCACACTGAATGTTCAGCAGTTTCTAACCAAAAATGGCATGACCCCTGTGCCCCACCCTCCCTATTTACCCGATTAGACTTTAGAGTCTTTTTTGCTTCCCTAGGTGAAAAAAGTCCTCATGGGAAACGTTTTGCTAATGTGAAAGAGGTGAAACAAAAAGCAGCATAAACACTAAATTCTTGATAGGTGTATTGCATCATATACACCTATCTCTAAATATGGAGAGTACTCTAAATATGGCTGAAGTTTAAACATGTAAGAATAAACACACAATTTTTATAAATAAATTCCATTTTTTTGGATCCCTCCTCATATACATAGACAGCTTGAAACACCTTCAAAAACTTCAAAGGGATTAAATGTACTACCGGATTTTCTGAAAAAAGATCTTAATCAGTGACTATACTGGTATTTTAATTTTAAGAGTAATTCCACAGCCATTTGTCAAATATTGTTCAATAATGTTTCTGTTCATAACAAGGTTTGAAATAGCTTACAAAATTAAAAATATATAAAACATGATAAAAGCAGAACAGAGACCATTTTAAAAAAGCTGAGACCTGAGATGAATTATACTATTTTTACAAACTGATAATGTGATCAATTATAAGACCATTTAAAAAAGCTGAGACTTGAGATGAATTATACTATTTTCACAAACTGATAATGTGATCAATTATAAGACAATCACTAATTAAATAATGGCTTATAAAGCAGGAGGAGGTGAATGGTAGTTGAATGTATGCACATATTAGTAGACATTATATACATATACATTTGAAAGAGATATCCATCAGAAATTCCAAATTGAGAGACTCCAGAACATAAGTGTTATTGACACTTTCATATAGCTTTAGCAGTTAATACACACCTGAAAGTGTATTTGAAAGCTGAATGATTGAAAAAAATTTTAATTTAATTGTTGATCAAGTAGTTTTCTGTCTTTTACTCCCATCCCAGCCCACCCTGCCAGTGCTCCCTCCCTCCCTCCCATTTCCACCCTCCTTAGTTTTTGTCCATGTGTCCTTCATACTTGTTCCTGTAAACCCTTCCCCTTTTGCCCTGAAATTCCCTCCCCCTCCCCTCTGGTCCCTGTCAGCCTGTTCTCTATTTCAGTGTCTTTGGTTATATTTTGCTTGCTTCTTTGTTTTGTTGTTTAGGTTCCTGTTAAAGGTGAGATCATATGGAATTTGTCTTTCACTGCCTTGTTGGGAACCACCCTGCCTTGTTTCAGGAGCTGTAAATTCCCCATAGATAAGGCTGAGTGAGTGACCTTGGGACCATAAGCCACTAAGGGGACAAAGCTTATCTCCCTGGCAGGAGTGCTGCTTCTGCTTCATCCATCTCTGGCCCCCAGTGCTTGGTCAGTTAGTCAATAATGGGTGAGACCCCTCAGAAGGGGGGCAACCTAAACCATACACGATCACTTAAGAGGCCCTCAATGAAGGACTTGGGGGGGCTACAGCAAAGGGGGGGTGATGGACCTTCGCCCCCCCCCCCCCAGCTTTGACAAAGCCTGAGTCCTCAGTCTGTCTGTGAGAAGTCTCCGAGAATTCCTTAGCTATCTGCCTCCTCTGCCTGACTTAAGCCTGAAAATAATGAATGAGGGTGGTGCAGCCCGGTGCTTGGAATGGTGGTCTCCCTAGGTGATTAGGCCTGAGAAAGGATATGTGAAATCCTGTGAAACCTGCTTTGTTAAGAATGCTCTTAGTTAAATGATAAAGGCCGGGGCAGAAAATGAGTTTTTTTCCCCCAAAGTTTTGTAGCCTTTTAGCTGATAGACCCTGACTTAGAAGAAGCCCTAATAGTTCTTTGTATGCTATCTACTCTTTACTGCCTGACAATGATTAATAAATAAGTTGTACCTGAACTCCTATGCAAAAAAAAACCAACAATAAAAGCCTGTCTAGGCAAGGCTCGGCGTGCTCTCCCCTTGAGAGGGTGGCCAGGCCATTCTGAGGTGCTCCTCCCTTGAGGGAGTAGCCATGCCATTTCTTTTCCTCCACAGAACTTGGCAGCCAGTGTGAATTTGTCTTGATTTTCCATCCATAATGCTGCAGGCGCTGCAGGCGCTGCGGGCGCTGCAGGCCAGTGCATGTGTCACACACAGCCTGGCTTATTTCACTCAGCATAAGCTTTCCAGTTCCATCCATGTTGTTGCAAAGGGTAGGAGCTCCTTCTTTCTTTCTGCTGCATAGAATTCCATTGTGTAAATGTACCATAGTTTTTGGATCCACTCATTTACTGATGGGCACCTAGGTTGCTTCAAGCACTTGGCTATTGTAAATTGTGCTGCTATGAACACTGGGGTGCATAGGTTCTTTTGGATTGGTGTTTCAGGGTTCTTAGGATATAATCCTAGCAGTGGAATTGCTGGGACAAAAGGCATATTCATTTTTTGTTTTTTTAGAAAATTCCATACTGTTATTCATAGTGGTTGTACCAGTCTGCAATCCCACCAACAGTGAACTAGGGTCTCCTTTTCTCCACAACCTCTCCAACACTTGTTGTTTGTTGCTCTGTTTACAATGGCCATTCTGACAGGTGTAAAGTGGTATCTCATTGTGGTTTTAATTTGCATCTCTCTGATGGCTAGTGATATTGAGCATCTTTTCATGTGTCTCTGGATCCTCTGTATGTCCTTTTGGAGAAGTGTCTGTTCAAGTCCTTTGCCCACTTTTTAATTGGGTTGCTTGTCTTCTTAGAATGGAGTCGTGTAAGTTCATTGTATATTTTGGACATCAAACCCTTGTCTGAGGTATCACTGGCAAATATGTTTTCCCATACAGGTGGTTCTCTTTTTATTTTAATACTGTTTTCTTTAGTCATGCAGAAGCTTTTAATTTTGATGAGATCCCATTTGTTTATTCTTTCCTGTATGTCCCTTGCTCTAGAAGACATATCAGTAAAAAGTTGCTTTGTGAAATATCTGAGATTATCTTGCCAATGTTCTCCTCTAGGACTTTAAAGGTGTCACGGCTTATATTTAAGTCTTTTATGAAAGCTGAATGATTGAAAGTTTATTTGTTGAGGGATGATAGTGATGTGAGGCTCACACTATCAGAGAGCTAAATGCTTCAACAATCTAAAATCAAGTAAGGGACTGGATTTCATTGCAGTCCCATGCTATTTATTGTATAGTTACTGGTACTAAAAACGTGTACTGTCAAGGAGCAACACATACTCCATTTGAAATTAGAAAGTCTTCTTTTCTTTATTTATTTTCTTCAATACAAATGTTCATGCTCACATTCCTAAATGTAACAGTAATATCTTTTAATTTGACCATATTTTTTTACTATAACAGCTTTTAAGTAAGTTATTTAACAACAAAAATTCAGTGAAACAAAGAGATAGAGATTTTATATTAGTCTTTGTTACAATAACCCAAGATGTATTTTTTATTTTGGAAAAGTAAACAAACAAACAAAAACAAGTGTGCTAATACCAAAGGTAACAAAGGTAGGAAAAACAAGGTAATATTTTCTTTTTCTTTTTAAAAATTTTTTTTATTTAATTATTTTTCTTATAGAAAACATGAATGAAAAATCAGGTTCCTAGTTCCATTTGTAGAATAATTTAGGTGTTCCATTTATAATAAATTATTACACTCAAGAAAATAGGGCAAGAAAAGGTAAGGTTTAATAAGCATCAACCATGATATTATAAAGTGCTTTAACATTTTAGAAAAAATTGAGTCATTAAGTAATTCAAGAAGGTACTAAGTTATATTAGCAAAAAAGTTTATTTATGTTTATTTGATTTTCCGCTTCATCAGTGTGATTTGTAAAGACTTACTTAATAAATTTTGGAGAAAATATACAGTTTAAGGTAAACCACTCTGTCTTAAGTAACTTCCCACTAACTAATGTAAAACCACACATGCAAACTATTTTTAAAAAATCACACTTACTTTGTTGGGGATGTTCCTTAGTGTTCCTTTGTTCCAGGTTGTCTCTTCTGGTTGAATAGTTTCACACTGCGGTTCATGGCTTTGTACTCCGTCTTCATTGCTTTTAACAGTCTTTTTCCCATCAAGGGACACATAGCCATTGTCAGTTTCAGTTGATTTATCAATTGAATTCTTTGTTTTCTTTGATCTAAAAAAAATATTCAGAAGCATATTATATGGATTTTACTTATTTTGGATGGGTCACTGATAGAAATTATAATCCTGTGATAATAAAATCTGATGGTTACTTCTATAAATTTTAATGGCCACCTCACTTTTATAATAAATAATTTAGAAATATAGTATCCACCATAGAAAATAAACACATAAATCAGTGTCCTACTTTATCTTATTTTATAGGTTCGGAGGTCAAACAAATAAATACCAATTCTAAGAGACATGTTTTAACTTACCAAATAACTCTTGGTCAAAATTATCTGGTGTCTGAGCAAAATCTAGGATCAAAATTTTGCCCATTTTATTATGTTTAATAACACATATATTTAAAAACCTCAGTAATTATTAGGTTAAGTTGCATTTAGTGGTTTAACTTAGTATTAATAGTCTTGTTTACCCAAATGCTTTACTATTAGTATACACACATAAATACCGCTGATAAATTTATTTTAATATACAATGGAGACATAGGGTCTTTGTTACATAAAAATATATGGACAAAGAAAAAAACTTTATACAAGATTCTAAATAACTGAAGAAGTATAAAGAACACAAAGTAAAGAAGTAACCTCTTTCACCCACTGAAATACTCTGAAAAAATATTGCTAATCATGTAGCATGTAAATACCTAAAAGGCTGTAATTGAGGTTCTTCACTTATAGGAATTCAATTTTTCTCAATACCTAAGATACGACATAGAAAAATAATAAATAAGACTTTTTTTATTAATAAGCAAATGCCTGAGCAGTCCCTTCAGAGACTGCAGTGGGTGAAAGATTGATTATCCAAAAGAGATGGTTAGTACTGTACAAATCGAATGTTAAGTCTTACACAAAATTAAAATGTGCTCAATGTAGATTAAATCTATCACAGAACATTATTAAAAGCAATTGAATTTAATTATACTTAAATAAATCCCCTAGAATTTTATCCAGAGTTTCAGTTTTGCAAGAAAGAAAAAATAAAACTAATATACTAGTTCTTTTCCCATGTGGGTCAAAAAACCAAAAATTAAAAAAAATGTATCAAAAAAATTATTCTTAACACTAGTTACTCAGTTTTACTGGAAGTTTTTAGAACTGTGTAAGACCTTAAAAATCCCCTGTTCTAAATGGTAATTTTGGAAATAAGGAATCAGAAGCATAAAAAAAATTTAAATGATTTATTTAAGGTCACATAGCCAGACACAGGCAAAAATGGCGCTAGATTACAGACCTTCTGACTGTGAGGTTAATTTCATTCTGCCTATTACCTCCAACTGCCCTCTCTTTTGGAAAAACGCCCATTAGGATTTCTTGTTAACACACTCATCAGAGCCTAGAAAGTTTCTGTCTTACACAAATAGGCCCTTCCCCTTCCTGATGTTCTGCTGCAAGGTTACTAAAAGGAACAGACAGACTATACTTGTCATATTTCTATAGAGCTCCAACACTTTCTAGTCATTTAGAACACAAACTCCAAAGAATTTCCAAGACTTAGAAGCCCAATCTTCTGATCCTTTTCTTTGTACATGACTCTAAGAGAAATTAAGAGACCAGTGGAATGAGACACCAAATAAAGATCATTTAAGAGTGTCAGAGGGAGGGAGGAAAATGGATTATACAGGAGAGGAGAAAGGGTAAAAACAAAAAATAAAAGGTGCAGTGATAACTTGTGACCTCCTCTGAGGGAGAAAATGTGACAGAAACAGTTACCAAATGCTCCCTTTATCTCTCCCTTGAGCATGGAGATGTAGGAAAAAAACCAAGGGAGCTAAATTACTAGTATCTTGAAAATGTGAGGACTTTTGGCCAAGATGGAGGTGTAGGTAGAAACACTGTGCCTCCTCGCACAAGCAAGTTTAAAGACAACAAAGTTTTAGTAACAAAAAACGCAGCCAAAACACAGAAAATTGAACTGTACAGAAGTATGACAACAATGAACTGTTCTTCCAGACCGGTAAGAGGGGTGGAGACAGTGGCGGAGCAGATCTAGCAGAAAAGATCAGCCAGACGGACCCAGGAGCTCAGGAGCTCAGGAGCACAGGCAACGACTGGCAGATCCCAGGCGTGGGGTGGCAATGAGCAGACCCAGTGAGGGCGCAAGGCGGCTGACTGTGGTCACACATTCACACGCAGATAAACCAAGCGAAGGAGCGAGCAGTAAGACAGACTGCTCAGGCTAGGGCCCCAGTGATGGGAATTAGAGCCTGAAAGCACCAATTGGACAGACTTTTGGGGGTCAAGGTGCCAGGAGAAGCTCCCAGGCTCACAGAGAGTTCGTTGGAGAAACCCACAGGGTCCTGGAGGGTGCAAAAGCCCACACACCTGGGAACCAGCACCAGAAGGGCCCAATTTGCTTGTGGGAAGTGGCAGAGGGGACAGAAATATGAGAGAGAGCAGAACAAATGCCATTGCCCCTCTCTGACCCGGCCCCCACATACAGTGTCACAACCCAGCAACTGGTGGGTTCACCCTAAGCCTCCGCCCCTCACACATAACAGGCCCAAACAGACCAAAACATTATGGCTCAAGAACAGCTCAAAGCCCCAGAGCCAATAAATCTAAGTGACCAAGACATAGCTAACCTTTCTGATGCACAGTTCAAAACACTGGTCATCAGGATGCTCACAGAACTGGCTGATTTTAGTCACAAATTAGAGAAATATATGAAGGCTAAACTAATTGAAATGAATGGTAATGCACAGGAAACCAATAGTAATGGAAAGGAAAATGGGACTCAAATCAAGAGAGTGGACCAGAAGGAAGGAAAAAATGACCAAACAGAAAAATATGAAGAAACAAGAATTCAAAAAAATGAGAAGAGGCTTAGGAACCTCCAGGACATCTTTAAACGTTCCAACATCCGAATTATAGGGGTACCAGATGGGGAAGAGGAACAGCCACGAGTGGAAAACTTATTTGAACAAATACTGAAGGAGAACTTCCCCAATCTGGCAAAGGAAATAGACTTCCAGGAAATCCAGGAAGCTCAGAGAGTCCCAAAGAACTTGGACCCAAGAAGGAACACACCAAGGCACATCATAATTACATTAGCCAAAATTAAAATGAAGGAGAGAATTCTAGAAGCAGCAAGAGATTAGGGGACAGTCACCTAGAAAGGAGTTCCCATCAGACTGTCGGTGGATTTCTCAAAAGAGACCTTACAGGCAAGAAGGGGCTGGGAAGAAGTATTCCAAGTCATGAAATCCAAAGACCTACATCCAAGATTGATCTAAACAGCAAAGCTTTCATATAGAATGGAAGGACAGATAAAGTGCTTCTCAGATAACATCAAATTCAAGAAGTTCATCATCACCAAGCCCTTATTATATGAAATGTTAAAGGGACTTACCTAAGAAAAAGAAGATAAAAAAGATGAACAGTGAAAGGACAGCAAACTCACAGTTATGAACAACCACACCTAAAACAACAACAAACTAAGAGGACAGCTAGATCAGGAGCAGAACCATAGAAATGAAGATCACATGGAGGGTTAGCAACAGGGGAGTGAGAGGAGGAAAAGGGGGGAGAAGGTACAGAAAATAAGTAGCATAGATGGTAGGTAGAAATAGATAGGGGGGAGGGCAAGAATAGTATGGGAAATATAGAATCTAAAGAACTTGAGACACGAGGTCATAAACTAAAGGGGGGGAATGGTGGGGTGTGCAGAGTGGAGGGGAATGAAGGGGGGAATAGAAATGGAATGGCATAATCAATAAAATATATTAAAAATACATAAATCAAGCGGCTTGGCAGTGACTGGTAATTATGGTAATTACAAGAGTATCACTGGAGTGGGACAGCAGGGCAGCCCATTTGAAGCAACTGTAGGGCAGGGTGCCAGGTGCAGCCCAGTAGGAGTGGGAGATGGGCTACACAACGAGGAGTACTTGAATAAGTATATTGAGGACAATGAAATCGATTTTTCAATGATAGAGCACAAAAATATAAATTAAAAGTGAAGGAAAGATGAAATGTACTCTGTGGTATTTGAATTGGAGCTATCACTGAAAATTCATGTTTTATATTGGGTCAGCCAAAAGGTCCATTTAGTTTATTCTGTAAAATAAAAGATGCATTTTTCATTTTCACTAATAACTTTATTGATTTAGATATTTTCAGTGTGTTGTCTATTGCCCACTATTGGCTTCTGGTGGTAGACGTCAGGAGTGCTCCTAAACATCTTTCAATACATCAGACAGCCCCACAGCAAAGAATTATTTGGCCAAAATGTCAAAAGTACCAAGAAACTTCACAAACACTTTTGACACATTTGATGAGTCACAACATCTTCTCCATACACTGCAAAAATCTTTTTTTGTGTTTCAGTGGTTTTATCTTTCTTGAAATAAAGTATAATATGCCAAAAATGTTGCACGTTTTCTTTCATCTTCAATATTAAAATGCTGCACAAAAATCTACCAATTTTGATATATTTTTAAATGCACTCTGATATGACAGTTGTCATGATACAATCTAACAAAATTGTTTCAAATAAAGTTAAAGACAACTAAGCACTACTAGAGCCATTGTATGGGAAAAAAAGGAATGAACTTTTTGGCCAACTTAATAATATATCTAGAGATAGAAATAAATATGAATGTAAAGGGATAAACACACACTCACATTTTCTAGCTCTACCCACTGAAGAAGTCCTGTGGGTAGCAACACCCCAATAGTCATGAGCACATCTACTACTCAGATCTTGGTTTCTGTATACCACGCCCCATGAAGAAATGGCTGATTCTGGGGGTGAGGCAATGCAAGTACAAGTTGAACATGAAACATTCTGTTGTGCCAGAAAATAAGGAAGTCCTCAAAGAGTGATAAGGACATGTCAAAAAGGAAAAGAAACTGCTCAAAGGGGCTCTGATGGCCAAATTTAGGACAATCTGATCATCAAATGACAGTAACAAATTAAATAAAATAGAAGTTCACAAGTAAATAAAGAAGAGAAAGTTATTCCTTAACATAGAATGACAATCGATGTAGAAGAAATGATGGAGTTAGAAAAATCACTATTTGGTAATATTTATAATAATAATTCACATAAGACTAAATGAAAGTAGGTGAAGGGATCAGCAAAGGAATGTATGACGTCTGTCCAGATAAAGTCCAGCCATTGTTAATATAACGAGAACGGTTTGTGTGACATCCATGTAACCCAGCGGCCAAGGAGAGTGGACTGGAATGCACATGCTGGAAGAATGATGACTTCACTATACTAGCCAATGGGGCTACTGAGTGAGCATGTGTATACTATGTGGCCATTGCATCCAAATGACTGGGTGAGCAGAGCAATGAATCTACATCAGATTTTGCATTAAGCTTGAACATTCCTCTGTGGAAACTATTCAGATGATTCAGAAGGCTGCAGCTACAGGCAACTGGTGATTGGCAGCTTCCTCATGACAATGTATCCACTCATGCATCACATCTTGTACAGAGTTTTTTGGTGAAATATGAAATCACCCAGGTGACTCAGCTGCCTCTACAGCCCAGATACAATGCCCCGTGACTTCTACTTTTTCTCAAAACTAAAAAAGGGAAGAGATTTCAGACTGTCAGTGAGATTCAGGAAAATACGAGGACAGCTGATGGCAACTGGGAGAACTGTGTGAGGCCTCTAGGTGCCTTCTTTGAAGGGGACTGAGGAGTAATATGTACAATGTTTCTTGTATCATGTACATTCTTCAGTAAGTGTATTTTTCATAGTACATGGCTGGATACTTTCCGGACACAGACAACAGTGTGGTGGTGGCCAGAGAAAAGGGGAGCTGGAGCTGCATGGAGGTGGGTAAAGGTGGGTAAAATAAGGACATTTGTAATAGTGTCAACAATAAAGAAAAAACTCCCTCCCCAAAATAATAATTCTTGCAAGAATCTTCAATGGATGCCAGAACTACAAGGTAAAGGTATGATGAGAAGTGAGTTCTTTTTGTAATATTTTGTATCCCCGCACAGGACACTAATTGATTATAAAAAAAAATAATAAATTTACAATGAAGAAATCTGGCAGAGGCAGACACTATCTTAATCAAGTGGTTAATATAAATATCACTAGTAAGGGAACAAGCCTACATTGTTTGCCATCTGACAGGATGCAATGAGAAGAACCAATGATCACTTCTATGACATTCCTGCCCAAAATGCACAACTTGGGTTTAATCATGAAGAAATATCACATTACTAACCTAGTAGTGTGCTCCTAAATGTTGAATGACCAGGGCTAAAAAGCTCTTATTTGTAATGTTTCCTGACTTCCATGCTGTAAATAATCCCCTATGTCCAATTTCAAGTATCAACTGACAGCACTAAACACAGAAATGGGGAGAGATACAAGTATTCAACTTTCATGAGTCACTTGGAGTCAGATCCAGAACACCACTGGCACAAACCCAAATTACGGGATATTTTAGAAAGTGAAGCCCTGTAGTCTTCAAAATGTGAAAAACACAAAACTTGTTTTAAAAAGTACAGACTGAACCCTGGTTGGTGTAGCTCAGTGGATTGAGTGCGGGCCTGTGAAGCAAGGGGTTGCCGGTTTGATTCCCATTTGGGGTACATGCCTGGGTTGCCAGCCAGGTCCCCAGTGGGGGACACATGAGAAGCAACCACGCATTGATGTTTCTCTCTCTCTCTCTTTCTCCTTCCCCTCTCTCTAAAAATAAATAAATAAAATATTTATTTTAAAAAAGTACAAACTGATTTGTACCCTGCTTAGGGTATGGTTTGGATGTGAGTATACAGGAAATGCTGAATGCAGAAACCGCAGGAGAGCTGAATTCCAATTCATGAAGATGGCAATTAAGAGCTGAAAATTAAAACTTCACAGAATATTAAGTTGTCAAAAGGAACACAGGCTATCAAGGCTCAGATGTTTAAGTAATTCCTCTCATTTCCTTGTTCTAGGAAGTAAAAAAATTAGGGAAAGGTGGGGGAGTTAGAAATTAAAAAATAAATATTGTATAGTTCTAAAGACTTATTTTCTAAAGGGAAGCTACTTCTATTTAAGTGAACTTTAAATTATGTACAAAAATAAGCTGAAGCAATTTCAATTTTAAAATACACACACATCTAAATCACCATTCCCTACCAAAAATGATAAGCAGGCTAGAAACAAGCTAGTATTATGAATTAAAGTACTAAAGCATACAAAGAAAAGGTACTTTTTAGTACTATCTAGAAAATGTCTACCTTTCGATAGCAACACTTAATGCATATATTGAATGCACTCACTGAATAAAACCAGAGTTGACAATACTTTCTTGGATCAACCCAAACACCATGAGTCACAGGCACTAGGGCAGTGAGGTCAGCAGCAGTATCCTGAAACCAGGAGACATACATGTGTATACTAATTTTATTTATTCCATGGCAAAATTTCCTGCACTAGCTTTTGAACAAAAAAGCATTTGCAAAGAAACAATGTGCAATTTCATGGCCATGGTCAAGGTTTACAGTTTTATAACTAGACTACCAGTTCAAACTTTGCATGGCAAGACCCGTGTAGATTTTTTTTTTAATATTATATTTGACATTTGAGAGAGACAGCGCTATGTCAAAAATATCCTTAGGAGGAAAGGACTTTCAGAAATGTACTTATACAATTACCTTATTTCCTTTGTGAGATAAAAGATGATCTTAGTCTTTTCTGAAAAAACGCAAACCAATATACAACCTACACCATAAGTAAATCATAAAACTAGATGGTTTTCACATTAAAAACTTTAACCAAAAAGTCAACACAACTTTTAGAGAGCTTGCTAAGTCACAAAATCTCAGATCTGTACAAAACATGAAAGACAGTTTCTTTCTACATTAAAAAGCTAGTCAGGTCATCAAAAAACACTCATGGTACTCTATACTGCCATGGGGAAAAAAAGGTGAAAGTAGGCCCTGGCTGGTGTGGCTCAGTGGATTGAGTGCTGGCCTGTGAAACAAAGGGTCCCCTTCGATTCCCAGTCTGGCCACATGCCTGGGTTGTAGGCCAGTCCCCTGCTGGGTCCCCAGTAAGGGGGCACACAAGAGACAACCACACATTGATGTTTCTGTCCCTCTATTTCTCCCTCTCTTCCCCTCTGTCTAAAAATAAAACAAATAAATCTCAAAAAAAAAAAAAAGAAAAAATCAACCAATGAATCCATAATTAAGCAGAACAACAAATTGATCTGTTTTACTCTCCCCCCTCCTTCCTCTCTAAAATCAATATATTAATTTATGTCATATAAAGCCTTGAATAAATACAAACCCTGATAAAAAGAAAGCAGCATGCCAGAGATCTCTGAAGACTGCGCCAACAGTGTATGAGGTGCTTGTACCGTAGTTCTGGACTGCTCCCTCCTGTGAATTATCTGTGGTACTAGAACCATCTCCTTCCCTATGGACTTCCAAATGGGCTGCTTTTCTTAATTTCCTTTAACAGAAGAGATTAAGAATGGAAGGTAGCTTTTAAATTAAAAAAATCAACTGCATGGTAGTATATTCAAAAATTTGGCAAACATATACATAGGAACTTTAATATATGATAAAAGTTCAGATTTACTGGATAAAAGTTAACCCAAATATAAAGTACAGATTCAAGACCAAGTCCTATAAATGTTAAGGTATTATCCCTTGCTTATACTGATGGTCAGTGGATATTAGGTAGTAAGGATTACATTACTTCCCTATTGAAATGCCGCTATCTGCAGATAAATAAACATTTTAAATCAAAGAGAACTGTAATCTAACTAATCAGCAATGTTATCTATTTGTATTTTCAAAATGAAAAGGGCTTAAATCTCAAAATCCCCAAACTGCAAATGCCACAATCTTTTACTAACAATATTCCAAAGAGGAATTAGTCCAGCCTTGGCCAGGTGGCTAATTTGGTTGGAGCCCATACACCAAAAAAGTTGCAGGTTGGATTCCCAGTCAGGGAACATACCTAGACTATTGGTTCACTCCCCAGCCGGGGTGCATATGGGAGACAACCAATCAATGTTTCTCTCTCCTCCCTCCCTCGCTCTCTAAGATCAATGAACATACCCTCGTGTGAGGATTTAAAAAAACAAATAGATAAAAATAAAACAGAGGAATTGCTCTAAAAGACCTTTAAAACAGAACTCCATGGTACTCAGTGGCCAGTGAGACTTGCTATGTTTACTTAATCTAGGGGCAATGTTAAACAGCTTCAAATAGCATTTAATAAATAGAATTTAGCTAAATTTTTTTCTTGTCTCGTTTTTGCCAAATCATCGTATAAATACAAAAGTTTTTAAATAGTGGATATTACTAACTCCAACTAACATACTGGTTGGCCAAAAAGTCCACTTAGTTTTTTTCTGTAAAATAAAAGACACATTTTTCATTTTCACCAATAATTTTATTGATTTGGATATTTTGAGTATGTCATCAGCTATCTCCAGTGTGGTGTAATGTTGATTGTTCTCGACGTCTCAATTTTCACTGTCAACTTCAACTACTCTATAGGACCGTGGAGCAACATTGATCGAGAAATCTCCAGCAGGAAACTTCACAAATCACTTTTGACACATTCGATCAGTTACGGTACCTTTCCATACACTGCACATATCTTTTTTGGGTGTTTCAGTTGCATTTTTATCTTTCTTGAGAAAATAAAGCATAATATGACAAAAATGTATATTTTCTTCCATCTTCAATATTAAAATGGCTACACAAAAATTCACCTATTTTGGTAAGTTTTTAAATGCATGCTGATATGACAGCTGTCACAATACAAACTAACAAAATTGTTTCAAATAAAGTTAAAGACAAACTAAGTGCTACTGGAGCCATCTTACAGAAAAAACCAAATGAACTTTTTGATCAGCTCGATATATTCGCTACATCACTATTAGGTACCTAGAAATTAGCTTCAAGAAAGAAAATAAAAATAAAAAGTATGTGGTTTCAAAATGATCTTGAAGCAAATATAGAAACAAAAGCATATCTCGTACCTGATTCTGAAGGTCACTGTTTTATTTGAAAGAGTAACTTTACAAGGTAACATTTTATTCAAGTCAAAAACAATTATTGGTTCAAATTACAGAAATCTACAAAAAAGTTTATTCACTACCTTCTTCTTTTACCGCCTGTACTGAGAGGAGGCTTGGGTGTTCTTGTTGAAACAATCTGGCAGTGCACGGTTCCCAGGAGGAGCATCAGCCAGATCGGCCCAATCACTTCTGTCAGAGGTATGTTATGTGGGCTAGAAGTGGAACAGAACAATACTATTGCAGCAACTACAAAAAGGGAAAGAAAATATGTTATAGATATGATAGTCACTTCTTTTAAACTTTAAAAAGTGTTTTAATATTGCTTCTTGACATTATTTTTCTAAATTTGAGTAAGTTTAAATGTTTTCCCAGACAAGCTCTTTCAGACTGGCTAGGCATACTTGCTGTTCAGTAATAAACCCTTGGATCAAGATAACAATGAACATAGTCTCTGAAGTACACACTTTAACACTATGATGAAAACTAGATGCACATGAATTGAAGGCCATTCCTGGTAAGATCCCAGACAGCCAACAGAACCACACTAGTCTCAAATGCACTTAATCCTTTGATTAACACAGAGGTCTATAATTGTATAATAGGGCCATAAAGAACTTCTTTTCAATAGAGTTCTATCTACTCAGAATTAATAGCACAAATTTCTTTGGGCATATCTCTTAGGGAAATCACTAAACAGCCATTAATGGTAACCATGGACACACGAAGAAGAAATCTTGTTTTAGCCTGCTCAGCACTGCTCAGCTTTGCAGACACAAACTCTCTTTATTTTTTTTGAATCTGCTTCTGTTATCTGTCAATCTTATTTCTCCCTTCTCAAGGACAGACCTGAATTCTATAGAATGGTCTTATTTCTCCCATCTCAAGGACAGACCTGTATTCTAGGGTTGCCACAGTTTTAACTCTGGGAATAGTAATTAATAAAAAGATGGGCATGTGACCCAAGCAGGGCCAATCAGAATCTCTCACAAGGAGAAATAGAGGTATTTGAAGACCTTTCTCCTAAATCAAACACTAAAGACTATAAATACAAGAAATTGCCAGGGGCAACTCAGCCATCACTCAAAAAAGGCCTTCCTAAGGATGAGACCAGCATAAGAAAACAGCAAAGACATCATCTAAGCCTCCATTGCTTGAATCAAGGGCCTATGAATACCTAATTTGGTTGGGTGGCAATTGAAGAATTTGAGTTATTAGATTTTTCTTTTTTGAAAATAATTTTTCTAATCCTCACCTGAGAGTATGTTTATTGATTATAGAGAGAGAGGGAGGGGGAAGACTACAAGGGGAGGGTGGAAAGAAAGGTAAGTATTGATTGGTTGTCTCCCATATACAGTGTCCTGACCGGAAATTAAACCCGAAAACTTTATGGTATATGGGATGATACTCCAAACAACTGAGCCACCTGGACAGGGCAAGTATTAGGAGATTTCTGTTCATCTTGTAAGATGTGGTCATTGGAATGTGATTGTTTAATATTTTGAAGAGGTTCATACCGATGTATTTGAGGGTAAAATGTCATGATGTACATAATTTGCTTTAACAAGAGATTAAGTAAATATGCCAAAATGTTAATAATTATTAAATCAAAGAGATGGGCATATGGATGTTTACGGTGACTATGTAACTTATCATTTAAATTAGGACTCCTGTGAAAAGCCCGGGCTGGCATAGCTCAGTGGATTGAGCGCGGGCCTGCGAACCAGAGTATCGAGGTTCGATTCCCAGTCAGGGCACATGCCTGGGTTGCAGGCCAGTTCCCAGCGGGGGACACGTGAGAGGCAACCATGCACTGATGTTTCTCTCCCACTCTTTCTCCTTCCCTTCCCCTCTCTCGAAAAATAAATAAATACAATATTAATAAATAAATAAATAAATAAATTAGGACTCCTGTGAAAGTGAGATGAGAGCTGTTAATAAACACATGAGGACAACACAAGTGAACTTGGGATAGTTACATACTCCCAGGCAAATTGGAACATACGACCACTCTGGTTTTTGCACAAGTCTATCTAGTTTCCTGGAGGTTTTTAGAAAACTGTTATGATAACAGTAAAGACAATAAAAAACTTGCAAAAGCTTGTTTACATTTGGTTTCTGCCACCTGCAACTGAAGGAATCCTGGCCTAGCATACTAAGATTTAAGCTTAAAACACCAATTTATTTTCTAAGATGTTTAAGAAGTACCATAAAACAAATTTCAGCTTTATGTTCTCCTGAGTAATAAGATTCTTTAAAAAGAAAAAAAAAACACTTAAATTTTTAAAAATGCCGAACATTTTTATGAATTACCCTGGAATTTAACTCAAGTTCTCTAGTAGTTTTATAATAGAGTCTGGAATCTGGAAAAATATAGAGTTTTTGTTTTTATTATGAACTGTAATGTGACCTTTATCCAGTTGCTTAACTTTCTTGAGCCCTGGTTTATTCCTGTGCACAAAAACAATATATAGCTACATAGGTTTCAAGTGGAGTAACACATACATGTAACCACTTTGAAAATTTCCTTACATACGGTAAATGTGTACTTAACATTGATAAGTAGTACCATTAGCTATTATTAACTATCTTTAAAAAGGAATGAGATGCAAATGCTATTTTTTGAAAAGAGGTTCAGAATTTTAGGCACAAAGACAACATCTTAAAGAACTTCGGATTTGATATGCATTTTGCTGGTTATTTATCTTTCAGCCTTTTGACCACCATTTTCTTTAATGCTAGGACTGGGAACATAAAAACTGTATTTTCTGTCTCAACAGAAGGTTGTTATATTCTGTAAAATTCGGCCAATGCAAAGCATTAGAAAGGGGGAGAAGGAAGCTGATTTATTCCTCTTTTTCCTCCTTCCTTCTGGCTGTGTCCCTCAAAGTGGCCATTTTCCTGCCATGGCCTCACTTCTTGAACAGGTGGTCCTGGTATCACCTCCTCTCTTTTGTTCTTACTTGAGTAAAGGCTTAGAAAATATAAGCAGAAAACATTCACTTCTCTATTATACTTTTTGATCATTTAATGAAATCCTGTAAACTAGACAGTAGTAGTGTTGAAGATTTCCGCTAAACAGTACATCTAGAGATTTCTCCAAGAGGTGAACTAAGACAAAATGTTCTTTATTGGGCCCAAGCAGTTCCAAAGCAGAGCTTCATATACCAGCCAAGCAGAACTCTACAGTCATCAGGAATATAAAATTCCTCAAGTTCAATTTTTAAGTCTGTTAATTTTTAGGATTTAGTGGCTGGTGTTAGGTATTAGGAACAAAAGGACAAGTAACACATAGTCTATGTTTCCTGCCCCTCTTCAGGTTAGAGGGAAAAAGGTGGACATATAAAGAAAAATTAAAATACCTATAATGTACAGAATTATGTACCCACCCTCGTAATTCATATTTTGAAGCCCTAACCCCTCAATGTGACTATATTTACTAACAGGACCCATAAGGATGTAATAAAAGGTTGAATGAAGTCATAAGGGTGGGGCCTTAATCCAATATGACTGATATCTTCATAAGAGGAAGAGATACCGGAGAACTCTCTCCATTCACACACAGAAGAAAGGTTCTGTGAGGATGGAGTGAGAAGGCTGCTAATTCCAAGTCAGGAAGAGAGTTCTCACCACACCCCAACCCAGAAGGCACCTAATCTTGGACTTTCAGCCTCAGACTGTTAGAAAGTAAATTTCTGTTGTTTAGACCACCCAGCCTGTGGTATTTTATTATGGGAGCCCACGCAAACTAATAGAATACCTATGATAAATGCCACAATATACAAAGGAAGACCAAAACAATAAAAAGAATATTATTTATAAAAAATTGTGTATTTATTCTTACATGTTTAAAAATCAATCCCCTTCAAAGTATTCTATTTGATGTAACACACCTACTGACACTTTTTTCCACTGCCCAAAAACAGTTTTTGAACATTTCAATTTTGATGCCTTTTATTCTTCTGCCATTTTTTGTTTCAACTCTTCCGCATTAGCAAAATGTTTCCCTTTGAGGAGTTTTCACCCAGGGAAACAAACAAACAAAAAGTCACTCAGGGCAAGATTGGATGAATAGGGGAGGTGGTACACAGGGGTCATGATGTTTTGGGTCAAAAAGTGCTAAATACTTAGCACAGTGTGGGCAAGTGAGCTCATAAATCACCTGTCATGAAGCAAGCAAACACATTGAAAGGGTCTTCAAAAAGAATTCACTGAAGCTGAACACAGCCTCTTACAACACTGCCAGCTTGTATATCGATGCAGATGTGTTCCTAGAACACTCACCTAACAAGGGAAGAAGCCCTATTCTACACCTTGCAGAACATAATTCTGGGTTTTTTTTGGGGGGGGTGCCTCTCATACAGGAGAAGCATGTAGCTAAACTGGGAGGTTATAAAAAGCATTCTGAAAGAAGGTAATAGCTGATGCCTAATTTAACTTTGAGAGAACAAACAGAAGTTGACTGGGTAAATTAAAGGGAAGAGGGCTACCCAGGCAAAGAAAATTTGCATGTCCAAAGGTATATATATGGGGGGGGGGAAGCACAGAATGTTTGAGAAACAGCAGGAAAGAGTTAATTTAGTCTGGTTAAAATTGGGGAGAGGCACAAGAGACTCACTAACAAACTTGCCTTATATTTTGAAATCAGTGATAACTAGGGAACAATTGAGACCTTAAGCAGCTGGTTTGGATTTGTAATATAAAAGGTAAATGGACGGAAGAAGGTAGAAGATATAAGATCTCTTGGCACTAATCTGGAAAGATGCGATATAAGCAAAAAGTAGGATGGAACTGAGAATATGAAGTTGAGATACTTAAAAGGCATGTAACTGATGTAAAAACAAAACAAAACAAAACAAAATCAAACCTATACAGAATTACATAAAACCAACTCTAACTGCACATGATTCTGTCTTTTGGGAGGTAAGGGTTGGATAGAAAATACCCTACTTTTATACACACAGATATGGAGGCACAGGTGTTTCTAAAGGTACTAGCAGACTGCTGAGGGTCATTAGGGTCATAGCAGGACTTTGTCACTGGCTGTGAAACTTGAAGCAATTAAGTCACTTCTTTAAGTTTTTCTAGAATGTTCAGCATTCAACTTATGAACACACAGTGTTACACTTCAGTTCTGAACTGACAAATACCTTTTCATGCCTGTTCTAACCTGTGTTCTCTATTTAACTTAGGAAAGCCAGTCAGTAAATTTTAGACGTAATATTTCATTAACTTTTAGTTATACTGGAAACTAGAAAGTGACAATTAAAAAACAATGCACAGTGGTTACAATCAATGGTACTGATTATGATTCTCGTAAGAAACTTCACTTTCTGACTGCTTCCGAATAAAGTTTGCTCCTTTTGCTAAGCTACAAAGCACTAGAAGATAATTATACTTAGTTAGCTCTTTGAAATATTTTTGGGAGCAAAGGAAACAAGAAAGTAACAATAAAAATACATTTAGAAGAACTACCATATAATGTAATGGTATTACTTAGCAAGAAAAAAGGTCAAGTTTGTGAAAGCAGTTATAAATAGCACGAAAAATTTTGGAAATGATATTATACTTAATTGCAGGCATTCTAAAAATTTATAATAAAATAATTCAAAATATTAAAAATACTTCAGAAACTATATGTTCACTTCAGCATCAATTATAAAAGCAAAAGACAGCAAAAAGCTTAAATGTCCAATATTGATCTAGGATAGGATATTTTCTAATAATTTAAAATTATATTCATAAAGACTCTGATACTTGGTATGACACAAGGTTAAAAAATAAAATTGCTTACAAAGAATAATCTCAACTATATAAAAATATTAAAAAGTAAACTGAAAGGCAAGAGTATAGGTAGTCTTTTTCTTCAGTCTACATTTTCCAAATTTTCTTCAGGGAATGTGTCATTTCTTTAATTAGAAACACACACACACTCTCTCTCTGACAACAAAATGCCAAAATCTTCATAGTTCACTCCCTTTTATGTATATAAGATATACCTTGGCTCAAAAGAAACAACTTTACCTAAACAAAAACCTGTACTTTAAAATTTATTTTCATTTACTTAAAAGAAATTCTCTTTTTCTTAGAGTTAGTTAATAAAACATGTTTATTGTTTTAATCCGGGCTGAGGGAGGAAAAATGAACTTGTATAAAGAAAAGGACTGGTGTGGTATGTATATAGGGGAGGAGATACATTTTGAAGAGACTTTCTAATCTTTTTAAAATCCTCTCAATTTGTATTTTTTTCTAGCCATGCACAGATTCAAATTTTCACAAAATTATACTGAAAAATAACTGCTTTGTTTTCTCAAACATTGTTAATGTCAGTGTGTCTTATTAAATGAAATATTACAATAAATATTTATCTTCATACTCAGTAGTTCTACATATTTTTATAAAAGCCTTGGTAACCCTAAAAAATAATAACCTGAAAGATAAAAGCAGAATACATTTCTATCATTTAGTTTTGTACCTTGAAGAAGATAAAGGACAAGAAGCCAGAAAAAGATGACTTTAGATGTTACTTGTAACCACCACCGGAAGAAAAAGGGAAAAAATACAACTCGAACAATTCCTTTTCTAGTCAGAGAAGTCCAAGGACTTTCAGGTTTTGCCTTAGCAAATGCAGAGCCTGAGAAGAGTAAAATAAAATGACTGAGTACATTTATTAGATTTTTGTTTCCTTAGAGAAAAAAATTTCAACATTTTAAGAAAAATAAAACATGTATAATTTTATTTTGTACTATGCTATGAATGAGAAATGTGGCACTTTGGGTAGCAGACACTTTAAAAAACATTCTGCATGCTGTCATATTAACTCAGGTACTTTGAAAAAAAATTTAACTGAAATAACAGCAGAATTTCTCCCACATATTTTATAAACATAAGACAACATTCAAATGCCAGTTCAAGTTAGGAATTTTAAATTATCACAATAACACATTAAACTAATATAATATTGTATGTCAATTATAATTTTAAAAATAAGTCTTAAAAAATGTTACTGCTTTCATTTTTATAACCAAGTCTTATAGTTTGCTAAGCAAACAGAAGCTGCTTTTCTTTTGTACTTATTTATTGGAATGATCTTTAGTGGGAAGAAAGACTAGTCAATGGTATTTAAATGCTTCCATTCTGTTTTTAAAACTATTCCTGTTTCATTTAGGCTCACATTACTTTTATTTCTACAAACATATATCTAACCCATTTTGAATTCTGTTTCTTCAAGGTCAATTTCTAATTGCATTAAGCATTTATTTATCCAGGGCTCACCTCTTACAAGATCAACATCTATGAGGTCTGGTTTCACATGCGCTGTTTTCTTTGGTTTATTCCTTAAACCCTATAACATATTAAAAGTAATATTGGTGAGAGTGTCGATCTTAAAAGTACTCATCACAAAAAAAGGTTTTGTGTTAACTATGTATGGGGACAAATGTTAACTACACTTACTGTGGTGATCAATTCTCAGTATATACAAATATCAAATTATTATGTTGTATACCTGAAACTAATGTTATGTCTATACCTTAATAAATAAAGTATTAAAATTACATATATATGTCCATATACATATCCAGAAGAACAGAGAAGAATCATCCAAAGATTTCAATTAAAAAATTTAATATAATGGACAAAAATGTAATACATTATATATTTGTTATAAATGGAACATAAGTGTAGTATCATAATAAATTTTATTACTTTCCAAAAAATTTAGGGATGTATATAATACATGGTGCTTATTACTAAAAGTAAAATTCTAAAACAAAGACTACTACTACCAATTAATTTGTTATGTACAGCCTGAGAAGGTCCAGGAAACTGCATTGGCCCCCAGATTTACATAGGAGAGCATTGAGGATGGCTGGGGTGACAGTGACTCTGAAGGGCTCTCAAGGTGTGATGCTGGGGGCAATGCTGCAGAAAGCAGTGGACCACAGAGCAGTGGACCACAGAGGACAGTGATGCAGACTTCCAAGCAGATGCCAGCAGGTATGAAGTGGTATTGGCTGAGACCCACAGAGAATGATGCATATCTCAGGCTTGCCACTATGTTCACATGCGTAACCAGACCAAAACGTCACCTAATCACAGCAGGAAATGCAGTTTAAATTAGTTAAAAAACTTGGGATTACTAAACACCAAGATTAAGTTTCTGCCATCAATATACAGAAAAGGGTAGATTATAAAAATTATTGAAAAAAAACACTACAAAAATAAATTACACTTTATGACTTAAGTCTAGGATGTTAAAAATCGAAGACTTTAAGCTAAACTCTTCAGGAGCCAAGTGCTAAGAGATGACGGTGTTAGATGATATTTATTATTCATTCAATACACCAAGTAACTGTTCAGAGCTTTGTTTAGTCCTAATCTAAGTAATTAACAATGACCACTTAAAGTAAAAATTTGATTAAATAGTGTTTCCATGTAATGCAAAGCAGAGAGCATCTGAGCTCAGAATTAACTGAGATGTTTAAACCAAAAATGTTCCCTAAATCAAGATGCAATTAAACTTTGAACCCCTGCAAATAAATAGTCTGTCCGACCGACCGAAGTTACAACCAACCCAGAGATACAAAGACACAAAAACAAGAGAAGGGTCAGGGTTGAAGATATGTCCATGGTAATTTTATACACAGTTGGTCTTCATATTCACAGATTCCACATTTGCAAATTCACCTACTCAATAAAATTTATTTGAATCCCAAAAGCAACACTTGCTGTGCTTTTACAGTCCTTTGCAAACATAAGCAGAGTGACTGTGGTGAAAAATGAGTCACCCAACATGCACATTCCCAGCTGAGGTCAAACAAGGCAATGCCCTGCCTTCTTGTTTCAGATCTCAATATTGTAATTAAGTGTCCTTTTTACAGTCTACTCAGTGCTATATATAGATTCTGCATTTTTCTGGTGCTTCTTGTTGGTAATTTTTTTTTGTTTAAAAAGGCTCCCTAGCATACTACGAACTGTTGTCTAGTGCTTTTTAAGTGCAAAAAGGCTGTGGTGCCTCTAAGAAAATGTGTTATAGATAAGATCTGTTTAGGCATAGTTACGAGGCGGGACCCCAAAAACACGGAATTGTTTTCTGAAGGGCAGGCGGACCCCTTGTAGTACAGGTTTCCGCTGCTAGGTCAGTGTTCTAGGAACCCATCTGTATCTACCAACAACACGCAGTGTACCTACCAACTGGTGTTATGAGAGGCTGCATTCAACTTCAGTGAATTTTTCTGTGAAGACTCTTTCAACACTGTTTGTCCATTTCATGATGGGGGATTTATGAATGTAAATGCCCACATCATGCTGAGTGTTCAGCAGTTTTTGACCCAAAACATCATAACCCCATGCCCAACCCTCCTTATTCACCCAATCTCACCCTGAGTGAATTTTTTTGTTTCCCTGGGTGAAAAAAAGTCCTCAAACGGAAATGTTTTGCTAATGTGGAAGGAGGTGAAACAAAAAATTGCAGAAGCACTAAAAAGCATCAAAATCAACAAGTTCAAAAACTGCTTTTGAACAGTGGAAAAAAATCTCAATAGGTGTATTGCATCAAATGGAGAGTATTTTGAGGGCAACTGAAGTTTAAACATATAAGAATAAATACACAATTTTTAATAAATAAATTCTGTGTTTTTTGGAGTTCCCCCTTATATACCATTTTGACCATGAGTTCAATGTTAATAAAACCAATAATACATATTGAATAAGGGGTTTTTCAACAGAAACACACTTAAATAAGGTTATGTACTGATGACTTGAAGAAAGAGTTGTGAGTAGAAGCTTGCAGGAACTTAAGTCTGTATTTCCTGTAAGTGCAATGTTCAGTATTTGCTAAACAGTTTTTCAGTGTCTTTATAGAAAATAATCACTGTGAATGAGAATCAGTTGTACCTGTATTTCATTTCCCATTTTAATGTCATGATAGAGTGGTGAGAGACTATAAGTCATTCCTGATAATTTGCAAATTGGGAAGGCAATTCTAATAATACATACATTTAACAAAATTTCATGAATACAGCTCTATTTAGATTTGGTATGACGTTTATTATGAGATTTTAACTTTTATTAGTGCCAACACATTTGAAAACAGTAACATTTTAATTTACTCGTTTTTCATACATTCTTTTAAAAATAGTTTGAAAATAACCTTATAGACAATGTTTTACCACAAATGTAAAATTAAATTTACTGTTGTATACCTAAAATTTTTATCAATATTGTTTTAAGAACTTAAAGTCCTTACAAGAGGAATAACATATTATCTTGTCTTATGCAATTATGTTGTTTTTCACCATGTTCATTCTACTTGAACTTTTTATATGTGTTACTTCTCTGTTTTATATTTCATTAAAGCATTTATTTTGAGTTACATTATAAAGTTACAATGTAATTACTAGTTTTGATAAAATGTCTCCTTCAAGGTAGCCTATCAGAGTATTTCATTGATTTAAAAAAAAGAAGAAAAACTACACTGATTAGTTTTCTAATATTAATTATTTTATTCATTAAAAGATACTACCACCAAGATATGAGCATTCATAAAATCTGATTTTAATTAAGTATATACTTTAAGTTGGAAAATTTTAAATTGGTTTATAATAAACTAGATCCATATAAAATAGCACAGCTTTCAGTACTAAATATAATTATGGACCCTCAACATTTTTATAGACTTTTGGTGGTGAGCATGCCATAGTGTATATAGATATTAAATTATGCTACACACTTGAATCTTACGTAATGTTATTAACTAATGTTGTTACCTCAATAAAAAGAAAATATAACAAAAGAATTTAGGTGAACAAACAAAAAATGAAAACTATTAGTTTAAAAAAAACTTAAAAAACTTACTAATTTAAATAGAAGTAGAAACAATCAAGTACTACTAGTACAATTAATCTCCAAGAATTCAAATAATATATTCTTTACTGAATATATATTTAAATTCCTGTAGTTAATTCCTAAAGTGCAATGACACAAATAGTATGAAGTTTTTCATTTAAAAATATTATAAGTCCACAGATAATATTGAGCCAAAAAGCTTAAAAGGGCTGTTTAAATTTAGAAAATACTTTGGTTCAATGACCCAGACTTCCATGCATGGACCTACTGTAACACTTAGACGCCATTAGAGAATAAAACCATCAGTTTCGCTTTCTGGAAATCCTGTTCTGCTCCCCAATCCCACTTTTTCTCTGTAATGACTTTAGACAGCCTAGTTCTTTTTGTTGAAGCCTTAAAACTGTATTAGGTGCTAAGCCAAGAGGAAATTCCACATTTAATTTTAAATTTGGGTCAAGGTGATCAGAAAAATAAAAGCTTTCAGTTTTAACTTTTTAAATGCTTAAGAAAAAATAGTTAGCAACTAACAAAGATTTAACACTTTAGTGATATAAACTGGTGGCTTTTAATTTAAAAAGATAAACATTTCTAAGAAATATAATTTCATGGCTTTCGTTGATTTCTTTAGTTGTTGCTCACTGCTTGATACATGAGCAAATTGATAGGATAACATAGACGAAGTCAATACATTCGAAACAGCATTCTCTATGGCACAGGTACAGTTTTTATTTTTTTAATTAATTAGTTAACATTAATACACCAGTTATGCACTTGTCCACCTTTCTTAGAATAAATACAAAATTATTTTACATTATAAAGAATATGCCTCCACTAGAATGTTTAGTAAGAATGGATTACTGTTTAAATTCTTTAGTTACAATTACAAAGTATTATCTTTAAAGGCAGACGTATTTCAGAAACAAGTTACAGGTCTTAGCTTTCCCTAAATTCATCCTGTCAGCATACCAAGAAACTACTAATATAATTCTTTTTTATACCCTAACCTTTATGTAGGCTTTAATATAGTTCTTTTAAAAATGAGAAAATTACTAGGATCGGGGTCCAGCACAGAGAGCACCTTTTCCTGAAAACAGGGTGTGGCCAGAGAAGAGGCTGCCCCTCACCTCCCGTCACACAGGGCGCGCTCTGGGGAATGTGGTGCTAGAGAGACCACTGCGGACGACCTGCTGCTGCTGGGTTGGGGTTTCCTAGCTGGCAGAGCAGCTCCCTCACTGCAATGCTTTGAAAGTCAGCCCTTGACACAAGAGCTTGAAATAAATAAATAAAATAAAAATGAAGAAATCACATAACTAATATAGTAATTTGTGATGAGTGGCTTACAACTAAAAAATTGTATACATACACACATACATATATTTCAGATGTTTTTAAGTTTCATAAAACATCCAAATGTGCCAAGTGGTAACACAACCTCTCAAAATACTTAATATTCCCTGTCCAACAAGATAAAGATTGTCAAAAAGAATAAGAGATTTTAAGGCTTCTTACTAGACTTCTCTGCTGCCTTTTATTTGCTTGACTATTCCAACTCTAGACTATTTCAGCTCACCAGACTGCTGTCTCATGAATCTCCTACTTCTCTTTCCTCCTTAATTTATATCTCCTCTTCCTTACATACCCATTAAATATTGATGTTTCCCAATATCCCGTTCTCAGTTTTCTTCTTTCATCATTAAATGTAAATCCACCCACTCCTATAGCTGCATCAACATAATGTGTAGAATACAGAACACATACATATGCACTTTAAGTTCTGAGGACTCCTAAGTCTGTTACCCACATACCTGGAGATTTCTAAAACAGAATTCTTTATCTGCTCCTTTTCTAGTATTTGCCATCACACTTAGTAAAGTTGTAAAAATATAAATTTAATCAGGTAATCTTTTCTCTTTAAAATCTTTGTTTCCCCATTGTTTTCCAAATTATTTCTAGACTCTTGGGTAAGGCAGTCAAGCTCCTTCATACTGTGACTTAGATTTGCATTTCTAATTTCCCTCCTCTATCAATCCTCTCACCACTCAAGCTCCTTGAGGAGTCATGTTCCTTCTTTCCCTTATATTTTCACATGGTCTTCACTGTGTCTGGAATGATTTATTCATTCTCCCTAGTGTCTCTCAAACTTAGCTCATGAATCACTTCCTTTGTGAAATATTTCTAACCTCTGCAAGGCTGCTCCCCCTAGAGCTCCCCCAAAGAGACCCACACATCCTTCTCTTAACTGGATGAGTCTCATCTGTAATTACGTATCTCATCTATAAAACTAAAATCTATTTCACTATTTTGTTTTTATGATTTAATTCTATATTCAACACGTATAAGATAGTTACTAAAACATTGTTAACTGTATTAATTCCTCATGAAAATAGTTTAAAATTAAAATTAAGAAATGACAAAGAATCTTGCTCTTTATTATAGATGACTAAGTTTTCTAAACACAGAAATTCTGGGGGACAGATTTTTAAGGTAACTAGAGACATTGGTTTTCAATCTAATGTAAACCTTTCTGTACAAAATAGAAACTGTCAAGCAACTTGAGTAACATTCTCTGGGCCCAGATTAAATTTAGCTCGTGCAGGACCACACTGATTAGTATTACCTATGCAAATGAAAAATATAAATCTTATTACCAAGGAAGAGTGCTTGCTGAGAAACAATAAATTTAGTTAAAAAATAATTTTCATGCTAGCAAGGTAGCCTGAGAACATCTTAGCCTAAGTGGTTACATGTTCAAGAAGAAACTACCTACTACAAAAGCATTTTAATTAATGCTTAATTTTCCTAAATTCTTTTTTCAGATGACCAGATTTTCAGCAGTTCTACTTGCATACAACTCATTCTGTTAGTAGCACGAAAAAACAGATCTCAATTAAGAAGAGCGGCATTTGCACAGGATCATTCAGGAGCGCAAAGTCCTGAAACACTTACCAGTTTAATAAACTGTACAGAGCAATGACAGCATCAAAAGTGAGGAAATGCAAACTAGAAGTATAAGGTGACAAGTGAAAGTGGAAAAGAGCTGACAAAAATAATCATTAAACATTAAATTTTAAAAGAGCAGAAATAAGCTAAAAAGCGAAGAAAAGAAAATCAAAGGCAAAGACACAGAACTATGCCATCATAAAACAGTTTACCTTCTTTATTCAAGTTTGGATAAAATTATATTAATTTATACCTTAAAAGTATATGTGAATATACTGCATAAAATATAGTTAATAATCAATTTACAGAACTGTTTCAGAATATACACAATGAAATATACATATTACCTTGATTTCTCTTTGTTCAACAGATTTTTCCCATATTTGTTGATCATATGCTCCAATCTATGAAAATAAATAAAAGATATCTATATTAAATAACTGTGAGTGCCCATCCTAAGGTACAACTGCTTTCATTACAAGAAACTCAGCATTCATTCAACACAAATTAGCTTCAGCTCTGTCCCAGATTTCTATGATTAATACTGTACTGCAGTGGCTCTCAAAGTATGGTTTCAGGACCAGCAGTTTTAGCATCATCTGAGAACTTGTTAGAAATAAAAAATCCCCTTTCTAGAAACACAATCTTCCAAAACTGAATCAAGAAGAAACAAAATTTGAATAGACTGATACAACTAATGAAATTAAAGCAGTAATAAAAACACTCCCAAGACAGAAATTCTGGACCAGATGGTTTCATAGATAAATTTTACCAAACATTCAATGAAGAACTAACACCCACCCTTCTCAAAAATTTCAAAAAAATTCAAGAGGAGTGAAAACTCCAAATCTCATTTTACAAGGCCAGGATTACCATAATCGCAAAACCAGATAAATACACTATAAAGAAAAAAAATCATAGGCCAATATCCCGGATGAAGATAGATACAAAAATCCTCAACAAAATATTAGCAAACGGGATCCATCAATACATTAAAAAGATCATACAACATAATCAAGTGGGATTCATTCCTGGGATACCAGATTGTTATAATATCTGCAAATCAATTAAATTGATACACCAGATAAACAAAATAAAGAATAAAAATCATGATCTTATCAATAGACGCAGCAAAAGCATTTCAGAAAATCCAGACCCACTTATAATAAGAACTCTCAGCAAGTAGGAATAGAGAGAACATACCTCAATGTAATAAATGTCATATATGACAGACCCACAGCCGACATCATACTCAATGGGGAAAAACTAAAAGCATTTCCCTTAAGATCAGAAACAAGGTTGGAACATCTACTTTCACCATGTTTATTCAATATATTGTACTACTGAAAGTATTAGCTTCAGCAATCGGACAGGAAAATAAAACAAAGACATATAAATTGGAAAGGAAGAAGTAAAACTGTCATTATTTGCAGACATGATAATGTGTATAGAGAACCCTAAAGATTCCAATAACAACTACTAAAACTGATAAATTAATGCAGTAATGTGGCAGGATACAAAATTAATATTCAGGAAATGACTGCATTTTTATACACCATTACACACCAAAAATGAACTATCAGAAAACAACCCCATTGGCAATTGCATTAAAAAAAAAAAACTAGAAATAAATTTAACCAAGGAGTAAAATGACCTGTACTCACAAAATTGTAAGACTTGAAGAAAGAATCCAAGAAGATACTAACAAATAGGAGTGTATACCATGTCCATGGCTAGGAAGAATTAACATCATTAAAATGTCCATATTTCCCAAAGAAATCTATAGATTCAATACAATTCCTATAAATATACCAATGGCATATTTCACAGAACTGGAACAAGTAATTCAAAAATTTGTATGCAAAAAACAAAAGACCCCAAATAGCAAAAGAAGTCTTGAAAAAGAAGAACAAAGTGGAAGGTATCATACTACTTGATATTAAATAATGTTCAAGGCCACAGTAATCAAAACAGCAAGGTACTGGCATAAAAATAAGATCAATAGAACAAAGCAGAGAGCCCAGAAATAAACCCATGCCTAGATGATCAATTAATTTAAGACAAAGGCAAAACCATACAATGAGGTAAAGACAGTCTATTCAATAAATGTTGTTGGGTAAACTGGACAGATACATGCAAAAATACAAAACTAGACTACTTCCTTATACCACATTCGAGAATGAACTCAAAATGGATTAAAGACTTAAGTGTAAGCCCTGAAGCCACAAAACTCCTAGAAAAAAAATAGGAAGTAAATTATTTGGCATCCGTCTTAGAAATATTTTTTGGGGTAAAGGCAACTAAAGCAAAAATACACAAATTGGACTACATCAGACTAAAAAGCTTTGACAGCAAAGAAAACCAACAACAAATAAAAGAAACCTACTAAATGGGGGAAGATATTTGCAAATGATAATCCAATAAGGGGAGAATATCCAAAATACTGTATTTTGCCATGTATGATGTGCTCCCATGCATAATGTGCACCCACAGTTTTGGGGAACATTATACATGGAATTATTATGCCCATTATTATACCCATGTAATCATTATACCCATGTATAATGCGCATCTTTATTTTCCTCTAAAAAACTTGGGCAAAAAAGTGTGCATTATACACAGAAAAATATGGTATATGAAAACTCATAAAATTTAATATAAAAAATCAAACAATCCAAATAAAAAATGGGCAGAAGACATGAATAGACGCTTCTCCAAAGAAGACATACAGATTGCCATAAACATGAAAACTTGCTCAACATCACCAATAATCAGAGAAATGCAAATCAAAACCACAATGAGATACCATCTTACACCTGTCAGAATGGCTCTCACAATAAATCAACAAACAACAAGAGTTAGCAAGGATGTGGTGAAAGAGAACTCCAGTGTACTGCTGGTGGGGACACAGATTGGTACAACCACTATGGAAAAGAGTGTGAAGGTTCCTCAAAAAAATTAAAATGGGCCCCAACTGGTGTGGCTCAGTGGATTGAGCTCTGGCCTGCGAACCAAAGGGTCACTGGTTCGGTTCCTGGTTGGGGCACATGCCTGGGTTTCAGGCCGGGTCTCCAGTGCCGGGGTGCACGAGAGGCAACCACACATTGATGTGCCTTTCCCTCTCTTTCTCCCTTCCTTCCCCTCTGTCTGGAGATAAATAAATAAAATCTGAAAAAAATAAAAAGACAATATGAATACCTTTAAAAATAATTAAAAATGGAATTGCCTTATGACCCACTGATTCCACGTCTGGGGATTTTTCCGAAGAAATCTGAAACACTAAATCGAATGAATATATGCACCCCGCTATGTTCACGCCGTCATTATGTATAATAGCCAAGATTTGAAAGTAGCCCAAGTGCCCATTAGTAGATGAGTGGATAAAAAAGTTTTGGTACATTTACACAATGGAATCTTACTCAACCATAAAAAAGAATGAAATCTTACTTTCTGCAACAGTATGGATGGACCTAGAGGGTATTATGCTACATGAAATAAGTAAGAGAAAGACAAATACCATATGATTTCACTTGCATGTGGAATCTAAAGAACAAAATAAAATAGAAACAGACTCATAGACAATGAGCACAGAGTGACAGCTGAAAGAGAGAAGGGGGCTTAGGGTACTTGATCAAAGACATGAAGGGATCGAGAAGCACAAATTGGTAGTTATAGAATAGTCACAGCAATGTAAATTACAGCACAGGGGAATACAGTCAATAATACTGTAATAACTATGTGTAGAACCAGGTGGGTAGATGAAAAATCAATGGATGCTCTGTAAAGTACGTGATTTTTCTAACTATTATGCTGTACATCTGAAACTAATATAGAATAATATTGAATGCAAATGTTAATTTAAATTTTTAAAAAATGGGATGTGGGGGGGTGAAAAAAAAGCAAACTCTCTGGTCTCTCCCCAGTTACTGAATCAGAAATACAGTGAAGCTCTCAACAAATTATGTTTTAAAAATCCCTCTAGATGATTCCAATACACTACTAAAGTTAGAAAACCACTGCTCTAAGGAATACTTTATTTTAAATAAACACAATTCTGGTATATTCAAGAAAAAACTCCCAACTGATAATCCTTTAGGGAGTTTTGTTTTGTTTTTTAAGAAACAATGACAATGTGCTACAGAATTAAAGATTCTTAAACATGTAGACCACAACTTGAATTAAGGTTTAAATTTAGCTTCTATGCCTATTACTTTTAAATGCTGGAAAGTTCTCTTAACTATACACATTCGCCTGGGCAGGATGAACAAACCATTCTTATTGCTCTTTGCCAAGTTCTTTGCTGTTAGCTCCTATTTTCGGTTTCCACTTAATTCCCTATATCCAACAGGACACTACAATGAGTCAAGAGCCTAGAGTTTTAATTAAAAACTTAAAATTACTTCAGATAATTATAATTAAAATACTAAAGACAAACAGAGACCAGAGATAGAGAATTATGAGGAAATTTAGTAAAGTATTTCCTGACTCACATCATTCTAACCAAGAGTCCTTTTATTTTTAAAAATATTGTTTCAAGGATTGAGAAACTGAGAATACAAGAATGATTTAAAGATATATGTGGAGGTAGCATAACCTTATATGATTCTATGAGAACTCTTCATTTCTATTATTCTCTCTTACATATTATTTATTCATACTGATTTCTCTGGTCCTTTAAATCCTGTTCTCTTTTATCTCATCCCTGTGGCTCCTTTCTTATTTTTAAAATCACTTTATGATATAATATAACCCACAGATAAAAATCTTGTAATACATGGACCAACCCACATAGAATGAACAACTCGCTTATATGTAAGCAAAGTTAAGAAGGCACAGGTAAGCAATAACCAACTCATCAGACCAACTGGTAGAGAAGACTTGCAGTGAATAGTTGCTCCTTACCATCTTTAATTCTGAATTCAAACAATCATCATCCTTACAGCCAGAAAAGGTTAAGTATAAGAACAAAGATTCCACACAAGTAATTCTATTCTAACTCGATAATTCAAAATGACTAAGCTTTAATTCAATCAAAATTTATTTTTAAAATGTGTAACTATTTCAATGTACTATATACTTATTTGTAAAGGAATAACTAAGACTAACAAAGAATAAATAATAATATGTTTTAATGATTATTTTGGCAGTTTCATGTTCTTATGTAGAAAAGAATATAAAGAATACTAAGATCTCTTTTAAAAGAACCACATTTTTATTATGAGATGATTCAAAAACATGGGCATGGGAATATATGTCCCACAATCCTAAAATAAGGGAAAATAAAATAATGTGGTCCTTCCAGAACACACCAAGGTCCAGCAGAGGCAGCCACAAACTGTGGACTGACTGTAGCTCCAAACAGCCGGCCCAGGGCCCATCGCAGGTAGCATCTGACATTGGCCTG